AAGAGTGAGGAATGTAATTTTTACGGAAATGTGTTCAGTTTAACCTAAGTGAGTATTTTCAGCGAGAGGCGTGGTCAATAATATGTTTGAGAATTTTTATCTCAAGTATGGTGGCATGAACAGCCCATTTTAGAGATCAATAATTTTGATCTTTGCTTGTCGTAAAAATTCACTTTTTTTAATTGTTTCTAATTACAAAATAATATATATTTCGAAACTAACACTTCACGACCATATGTTTCTATAAAAAGTATAATTCGAGAATAACAATAATTTTTATTGCATTATTCAGATTTTTCATGACAGGGAAAGGAAATTTCATTAGTGAGAGGAGCGAAACGATTTTGTAAGGGCAAGAATGTAACACGATCAATTGAGTAAAATAATAATCAAAAATAAAGGTATTAGAAATTTGAAAGCATTTGGAAGAGCGAGATTGGAAAATTAATATCGTTAAGTAAACAAGAAAAATTATTAATGATGTGAAAGTTTTCAAAAGAACCCAATAAATTAAATGAAGAAGCTTTATGAATAATTTTTGAAGATCCCAAATGTAATTAAGTAACCTTCGTACTTAGCTAATTTTTTTTTTTCCTTTCGAAATTTAATTCATAGTTTCTGACGAGAAAATTTCAGCGCTTTTTCAGTTTGGCCAATATACACCAAAGAGCACGATACATATCAAACAATGCTAAATTAACACAGTAGAGTAATTAAAAGCACATATGAGATATATAAGAATCGAAAAATGAATTTTACTGATAGGTGAAAAAATAACTTAAATATTGAACTTATGGAGAGGTCAAGAAATTTTGTAATTGATAGTAAGTTTGGGTAGAGTAGACTTTAAGGTACCTCTTGTATTATGGCAAAGTTGTTGTTGAATTTATCACCAAGTTGTTGTTTCATTTATGGTAGCCTGAGTAGTTGAATGTTATGGAAACCCTATTGTGACGTAATCAGGTGCATGATTCTGGGAAATTTTGAATCATGGGATGTTTTGTAGCGTTTTTTGGTGTGTGTTAAAACCTTTTAGATGGATTTGAATGGGTTTGTGGAAGAAAGGTTCAGATGGTCACTATGTGAAGCTCGATCAGAAAGATACCTGGTTTGAAAAAGTCATTTGAGTATGGTTGCTATTTTGATTTTTACGTGCTCTGGGTGTACGAAGCGAACTCGAAAATCATGGTAGTAATATTTGCTTTGGTAGTGCTTAAATGTATAACATGTTTTCCTTTTTATGTTATTTATTTTTTGGTTTAAAATGTATTTTATTGAGATTATGTATTTTTTGTTTGCCTTATGTAGACTTGGTGCTCCTTTGCTTTTAAGTGAAAATACGTCGATTGTACATGGACAAGTAAAGGGAGTGTGCAATGCAAGTTTGTGCAATTCTGGCATTCTTTTTTAAGTGAAATAGGTCGGATGTGTACATGGATAAAGTTAAAAGAGGTGCAATGCATTTTTGTGCAATTCGGGGATTTTTTTAAGTGAAAATAGGTCGAAGTGTACATGGATAAAGTCAAAGGAGTGCGCAATGCCATTTTTGTGCGATTCAGGGTTTTTTTTTTCAAGTGAAAATAAGTTGATGTGTACATGGATACCGAGTTTGTGCAATTGTTTGTCTTGTTATTTTGGCTTTGCAAGCCAAAATAATGAGTCAAAGCGTTGCACAAAATCGGTATCCATGTACCGCCAAGTTTCGTCAAGGGGTACCCTAAACTATACTTTTACCGTAAGTTAAAATAATTATTAGGTATGTAACTGTTAAACGTCACTGTATCCTGTTGACTAAATGTCTTGACAGTTAAGTGTCTCGTAGCTAAATGTCCTGACAGCTAACTCTCTGTGTCGGCCAAATGTCCTTTCGGCTAAGCGTCCTTGTCATCTAAATGTTCCGTCGGCTAACTGTCCGTGTCAGCTGAGTCCTAAACCTGTCGGCTAAGTGTCCGTGTCTAAATGTCCTGTCGGCTAAGTGTCCGTGTCGGCTGAGTGTTCATGTCGGCTAAATGTCCTGTCGGCTAACTGGTGTCGGTTAAGAGTCCCATCAGCTAAGTGTCACGGACCTGTTTCAAAGGCCTTATTGAATCATATTCTTTTAACTTACACAAAAGACTTTCTTATTTGTGCTTATATTTCACATTGTTCCCATAAATCAGAAGATTCTAAATCATATGCTGGAAAACTAGGGAATAAAATCCACAAGGGGTAGAAATAAAAGAATAAATATGCTATATGCAATATTGTGAGATACAAAATATACATTTTTAGTATTGTTACATTTATTTTTTACGAACAGGTTCGTGGATTTGGAGTGAATAACGACAATAGCACTTGGTGAAGTATCAAATACACACTTCATATGCTTATAGACATTTCCTCCACTATTTCTCAAGTGGTGATTCGCTGATTCATTTTTATGTCTACATCTAAAACTGCTTCCTAGGTGATTACCATATGGACCAGGTCGTGGCCTGCCCTCAGTACTGCTGCTTCCACTATGAAAATCCCTACATCATCGGAATACCGATCTGTGTTTCATATACTCCATATCATATGCATTTTGCATTTGACGATAGATTTCAGAAGCATTCTCATTGTCTGCTGTTAAAAATTGCATGACCGTGTGTTGACACAGTTTGGAGGTAATCATGATGTGAATATAGCAAATTGCACTGTTCCTTAACTTTCTGATATGATCAAGCTTGTTATTTTTGCAGGCTGTTATTATTACAGCAATTTTATGAAAATTAAAGTTTTAAATTTTGATTATGTCAAAAAGAGTTTCTTAAAAGTATATCCCTCTCAAAATTATGCGAGGAGTATGGCAATGGAAAGTCAAATGTATGACATAAGGAACTTTTTGAATGTTTTGTGGATTCCGACACCCCACTTGCAATGAATAACAGAAAAATTATTTGTTACGCTAAACGTGATGATCATGACAAAGTGGTGATTGAATGGGTTAGACAAGTGTTGCAGTGAGGATGTGCTAATGACTCGAGCCAAAATATTTCATGAAGAAATAAACTTAAAAACTGAGTGTGCATATTCAATAGGTTGGTTAACAAAATTTAAAAATTGCCATAATATAAGATAATTAAAAATTTCATGTTAAAACGCTTCAGTTGACACTCAAGTTGCTGAACTATTTGCAGATGAATTCCCTGAACTTGCTAATAATGAAAATTTATCTCCAGAACAAATTTACAACTCTTATGAAACTGGTGTTTTCTGGTAATATGTACCGCAAAATATTTTGGCAACCTCTACATAAAAGGCTCCAACTGGTGTTAAAGATTCAGAAGCGAGACGAACAATTTTAGCATGTGCAAATGCGGCAGGAATGCCCAAGTGCAAACTTTTCATGATCGGAAAGAATACATGACCTCGAGCATTTAAAAAAGTAAAGATTTTCCCCATTATATATCGTGCAAATAAAAGAGTATTGATGACACAATCATTAATGAATGATTGGTTTGAAAATCATTTCATACCTGAGGCTTGGCAAGTTAGTTTACCTGATGATGCAAAAATTGTCCTGATTTTAGAGAGCTGTGCGGCTCATATTTCAGTTAAAGTTTTAGTGAAAGGTAATGTGTTCTCCAAATTGTATGTCCATCATTCAGCCTATGGGTGTTGGAATAGTGCGTGTGTTGAAATGCAAATATAATGTAGCATTTTTAAAGTCCATGTTGAATTTCTTGAATAATGGTAAGACTATTCAAGAATTTTTGAAATACTTTAGCATAAAGTCTGCTGTGTGGAGCATCTCAAGATCGTGGAAGGTGTGCCTCTAGATACTTTAAAAAATTCCTTGGCATAATTTATGGCCAGCTACTATATTTCATGGTGAGGATTTGCTGATGATAGCCACAAATTGGAAAATTTTTGGATATCGCAAACCAAAGGTGAAGTTTTCCAATTAATTCACTTTGTAAAGAAATATAGAGAAATAATAAATGAAGATGATATAACAGAGGTTTTTTTTTATTACGTTGACAATGGCCCAGTCATCAGTCAATAAATGGACAACAAAATCTGTAGTATGGTTCTAGATCCAGAAAATGCAACTACTGATGGTGAGGAAAGTGACATTACTAAAAATGCCACTACTGATAGTGAGGCTATTGAAAACAAAAAAATTTAGATTGACAAGTTAGTCGGAATTCTCGACACGTTAATTACAGGACTTGAACAATGAAACTAAACAAGAAATTATGTCTATAGAATTAAAGAAAAAGTACTAGGAAGAAAGGAGGAAAAAAAAAAAAAAAAAAAAAAAAAAAAAAAAAAAAACGAAGCAACTTAAACAACTTACATTGAAAGAAAAGTGTCAAAAAGTAAATAAATATTAAGCTTTTTTTCCTAAAATTTTAGACCCTTTAGATCACAAATGCTTCATTATTTCATAAGTCATGATTTCATATTTTTTATTTCGTAATTGCTACATGCCATCTTATCAGATTTAAACTGACCCAGAATCCCAAATCCAGAATTGCCAAAGTACTGTCAAGTTCTGTTTCCGGACTTTGTACTGTATTATTATGAAGAGTCTTTATATTGTTGATTCCATAAAATACATAGTTATTAATGGCTCAAATGCAGTTTAACCCACTGCTTGGTGATTTTTTTTGAATGGGCAATAAATGCTCCAACAGAGCTAATTCGATATTTTGAAGGTGTGGAAACATCTTGCATTTCCGTGCATGTGTTTTTACCATTTTGTAAACTAGCTATTTTATTGGCAATCTGAGATGATGTAGGAGTTTATTTGAAATCTTTAATTGTTAATTGCTGTTTGATTATCTAGCTATTTCATTGTCGATCTGAGATTATGTAACTGTTTATTTGAAATTTTTACTTGTTAATTTGAGCAGTTAATTAAGTTGGCATTTGAATGTTCTTATGTGGTGGTTCTCAATTGAGTGTTTTTTTTTCCCTCCCATGTGTGGTTTTGCCATTTTTCTGCATATATTTCATTAGCTGGGCCTGTCGCTATGGGCTTATCTGTGATGCAGAGAGAGGTGAGTGAATGTACTACATCTACATTTATTACTTTATTGGAAGTGCAAAGGAAACATGCCATGATTGAATGGTGTATGAAAGTTGGTTTGATTGCTACTTGTTTTGTTTGTCCGAAGTGTGGTGATCATATGCATTTGTGTGAGAGAAAGGGAAGTAAGGAGGGGTTTGAATGGCGATGTAGAAAGCAAGGACCTATGAATGTGCATGGTGTTTGTCGGAGTATAAAGAAAGGTTCCTGGTTTAGCCATTTAAGTTTATGTGATATATTGATAATTACGAGGTGTTGTTTTTTGAAAATGGGAAATGAATCTCTGATGCAAGAAGTGAAAGTGCATGAGCATTCTGCTGTTGATTGGTTTATGTTTTGCAGAGAAGTGTGTATGATGACTGTGGTAAGTGATAGTGTTAGTTGATTGGTGGTAAAGGAGAGATAATTGAAGTGGATGACAGTAAGTTCGGAAAAATGAAGTATGGAAGAGGGAAGCCTGTAGACAGTCATTGGGTAACAAGTGGTATAGAAAGATAAACAAGGAGATGTTTTTTTAGAGAGATTGAGAATAGATCAAAGGTGAGTTTGAAGAGAGTGATAGTTGAATGGGTGTTGCTGGTGTCAACTATGGTTTCAGACTGCTGGAAAGCATATGGTGAACTAAAAAATTTTAGGTTTTGAATATCTTAATGTCAACCACAGTCTGCACTTTAGGGATCCCGAGAAGGGTGTGCACACTAATTCCACAGAGGAAACTTGGTTTGGAATCAAAATCATTTGTGTCACAGTACAAACCACATAGATGGTGAATTTGATTCATATTTAGCAGAATATATGTGGCAAAAATGGCACAACCAATCATTGAGTGATGAATATTATCATGCGTTTTTAACAGTAATTTTAAAGATTTATAAAACGGGGTAAATTTTCTTATAACCCCCCATCAAAAGGACTTCCCAGTTTTTATGAAAAGGGTAGGTGAAAAAATTTTTTCTTTTATGTTTAAAGTTGCTTATTTTTAATATTTTGTTAGCTTTTTTTAAAAAAGTTGTGCCTTTTGTTAAAGTATTGGTTCTTTCTTCGATGCCTTTTTTTTTTTACGTTTATGCGGAGCGTCTTGGGGATTACAATTCCAGAGACATTGCACAGAAACATGCCTAATTTGGGATTTTCAAAAAAATTGCCAAGCAGTGGTCTAAAGCACATTTTCAGGTTAATAACTATCAATTACTTTTTCATTGTTTTTCTTGAATTTCTGTTTTAGATATGAATTGTTTCCATGTTTACAAGATTCATTGAAAACTGCAACCATCTAATATGGCCATCTAATGAGTTAGCGATTTTCTAAAACATGCAAAAATAACCAATTTGGAGAATTGGTGATTTTTCAGAAATGTGCCAAACTGGACTTAATATCTAGTTTTACCGATTGTAACATATGGGCTACCTACCTAAGGGGATAGATGCACTCATAGCTTACTTAGGAAAACTGACTTGTACCCACATTATAATACATGTGAAAAATCACGAAAACATCCATTTAAATTTGTTTAAAGTAGCAGTATTTTATGATTTTTATCACTTAACTGCTGTTGCTTCCTTCAAAAAAGTCATTGTGTACAGTACAAAGTCCAAAATCCGGATGTCCATTATCCGGAATGATCCAAAATCAAAGCCACAAACATTTTTTTTTTTATATCAATGCTTTACGCGTGTGCATTTGACTTTTCCTTCTGTAATAAAACATGTAGAGATTTTCACTTAAAAATTCTGATTCTTAATTTCACTTAGGCACTAAATAAAATACCCATTATGGAAAAACAATCATGTAAGCATAAATTTGCGAGATTAATAATTTGGCTCCGTAGCTGAGTGTCTACTTGGCATACATCTCAAACCCAAACATTCACCTATTTTATATCCCTGACACCGACCTGGCGAGTCATTATTTATTATATTTTGCTTTCATCACTGCATTTATCAATACATGACAGCTTCAGTAATAACTCATGCTGGGATGTCTAAACTTTTTTTATATTAATAATTGAATAACAAGTATGGCAACCTTTTATGCTAACATTATGCTTGGCGATGATCATAGACAATATATTTTGTTAATGGAACTCATAGGCCAAAAGACTACATTTAGTGCTATTTTAATTAAGAATAACTGATATGTTATTCACCATAAACCCAGAAGTGGCGGCAGAAATTAGGGAAGCATCGAGCAGCAAAATTAAGAGATGAGAAGTATTTATGATTTAGGGAAAGCACTGTGATCCAAAGTTTAGGCACGTTGAAAATTTAGAACTTAGGAAAACGTTTTGTAGCAGAATTTAGGACCCGTACAGACTGCACCAAGCGGTATCGAGTGCTGGCTCTAGATAAAGCCTTAAGTATATGTGGGAGTTTATTTATTCAGGACTCGGATTAGTTTGAAGCATGTGCAAGAAATAAACATAGGTATAGTAAATAACTAATACGATTCAGGCTTAGTTCAGTACGCAATAGGAGCAAGACAAAATTTAGCAAAACAACTTGGCTTTCGTCACCAATCTTGTGATACACAGCCAATAATGTATAACAGACATACATTATTAAGCTAGGCTAAAATTATCTTTACTGATTCTAAGGCATTTCAATGAATGTAGCAGACTGCGCTGCTCCCTGATCTTCTAATTTGATCCAGCTTATGATTTTTTGCAGACTGTTATTATTACAGCAATTTTATAAAAGCTAAGCTTGAACTTATGATTATGTAGAAAACAGTTTCCAATTCTGGAGGTGCGAAAGTGAAACAATGTTTCGATGTACATTAAACAAAAAGTCGAATTGCTGCAAAACATTGATAAAGGCATATCCGTCTCAAAATATGCAAGGAGTATGCCATTGGAAAGTCCACTGTATATGACACAAGAAAAAAGAAAAAGGAACGTTTTTCAATTTTTTGTGGAAACATCTCAAACAACTCACATTGAAAGAAATGTTTAATAAAGTAAACAAATAAATAAAGCTTTTTTTTTTTTTTTTTGTTTGTTTGTAAATTTTGATACCCTTTAGGTCACAATTGTTCTTTATTTCATAAATTACGATTTCATATTTTTCATATTTTTAATTGTATAATTTTTGCATGCCATCTTACCAGATTTAAATTGATGATCTATTATCCGGAAAAATCCCAAATCCAGAATCGCCGAATTCCCGACCAGTCCGGATTTCAGACCTTGTACTGTATATTATTTACTTTTACCTGCATATCTACTGTGATGTATGCTGTGGGGGAAAAAAAAAAAGGGGACAATTCCATCCATATCTTCTGTTCTAGTGGGCCAATTGACGAAATTGAAATTGTGTTTTCCATGTCTCAAAAATGTGACTGAGTGTGTAAGAATGTGATACACTCTTAGACAAAAAACGACGTACTATGACACACCAAGAAGATATAAAGCAAATTGGACACAAATAGATATGCATATGGGTTTTGACGGAAAATGCAAAATTTTACATTTTGGCTGCCAATGAATGAACGGTTGTTGCTACAGCACATCTGATCTGCACAACTGGCGGGATATTTAAGAGGAGAAATTACGATTTCAGGTCATAAATTCTTCACAACAAATCAGTTATTCTTAATACCAAACAGCACTAAATTACTTATGAACATCATTCACAAAATCTCTTTTTAGAAATGTATGTTAAATTGATTTTTGTCAATTCACTTAACACTTTGCAATGCATTTAGCTTAAGTTCATAAGTGTTGCCAAGTATAATGTCAGCATAAAAGGTTACCATGCTGTTTGTTTTCAGTTATATATATTTAAAACAGTAATGTTTCAGACATCCCTGCAAAGTCATTTTTCAGGTTGGCTTCAGTTGATAGTCACATAGTGATCAAAGCAAAAAATAATAACAAGTGATTCACCATGTTGGTGTAAGAGTTTTAGGATACTCAGGCATAAAATCAGTGATAAACTCTTGTAGAATGTTTTGGTTTGAGGTATGTGCTGAACAGTAAGACAGTTATGGAGCCAAATTATTGCTCATGCACATTTATCCTAATAAATTATCATGTTTCTTCAACATGAATATGTTTTATTTAGTGCAAAGTGAAATTAAGAATTGGGACCCTCCACATGCTTTATTATGTAAAAATGTCTACTGCACATGCATGAAGCATTAAGTGTATGCTACTCCTGGAATCTAGTTTGGTCTAGATATTTGATCTTTCCGGGTACTGCATGTTCAGATTTTTGAATTTTTTATTGTATTAATGAATTTTAGGCAACTACTTGTTTTAAGCATATTAGAAAGCATGAAGTACTTATTTAGAGAATTTTATAAAGAATTTTATAAAGAGCAACACAAGTATCACTCACAGATATTTCAGTTTTATTCTGTTAGTTTTAAAATCTCAAGTGAATATCTGATCTTCCGAAACACCAACCAAAAAGTGGCAAACTTATGCTGACTTTAAAGAATATTTGTGAAGTCATTATTGCCAACTAATTTTTCGGCAAACTAATGCATGAAAGACAACGGCCATTTTCATAATGACAGCACACTTAAGAATTCCATACAAGAGCAACCAATCAATAAAATAAAATTAAAAAAAAAAAAAAAAAAAAAAAAAAATTTGGAAGCATGGGTAATAAAACACTTAAAAAAAAAAAAAAAAAAAGTGCACAAAACTTGGCATCTGTGAAGTTAACAGCGAAAACAGACGTGCTGCATGCATACTGGGTTGTCATGTAAATGCATTTTGGTAACATCATGGATTGCCATAAAACTATTTTGGTAACATACTGCTTTGCCTCATGACTATTTTTTTGTAACTTTTTTTTTGAGTCTGGAGGATATAGATACAGATATTCAGAAATTACCAATATTATTGTTAGGGACATCAACACTTCAACATAGCGAATCATTTTCTTGCAATATCAGTATAAAATCTATGAATTTATTATGCTCTTCAGGCCTTATGACAGTGTTTTTTAAGAATCCTAATAATATTAGTAAACACATTAATATATAGTGTGGTTGGAAGTTGGCTTCTGTCATAGATGCTATCTAGCTAGCTTTCTCTTTATCAAACTAATGCTTATATATAATTAAATCATGCTTTAATAGTTAAGTGATATAATGAATTAAACTGAAATATTATGTTTTATTCAAATTCTATTACATGTGGTATTTAATCTTAACATTTCTTGGCCCCACCAGTGGCTATATGGTTAAAGAGTGCTGAATAGTATTACTTTATCATGGCTTCAAAACCAAGCGAACAGGCTAGCTGCATGGGTGGTTTTCATGGGTTTTCCCATGTATAACAGGAATATGGGTCACTTTTCATCAGGAAGTCTACTATGAAAGCATCTCTTCCCTTTGACAGATAGCCCCTTGTGTGCTTTGCCAACTACATTTCTCATTGAATGAATTTTCTGCAGTTTTTGTAAATGAAGAATTTCTTATTCTCATAAGTTACTTAAAATATTAAGAAATTATTTATATATTTTTATGCAGTTTTGAATTATAATGAATTATGTCTAGCCTTTTTTTAAGTTGAAAATGATTTTATCTTTATTCCAGCTCAGAAATATATCGTCTTAACCTGGAACAAGGAACGGTTTCTAAATCCTTACCAAACAAATGCAAGGTAATAAAAAGTGATGTTTTTGACTTTTCTTATGTGTGGATTATGCAAAAACTTCTTATAACATTTTTTGATATGATTTTAATTTAGCTTTGACCTAGGCTGATTGCATATAAATTTTTAAATTAAAAAGCATAAAGTTTGATTTTCTTCAAATTGTACAGGTTTTCAGTAATGTTTTCAAATTTATTGGTGTTTTTATTTTTGTGAGCTGTATGATTAAATTTAATATGAATCTATTTTACTTAACATTTCTCTTGCAAACTGTTAGGTCATTTCAAAAGTTCTGTTGTTCCTAGCAATTTTGTTTTCTGGCAGACACATTTTATTTAATAGAAAAGAGTGTGATGCCGATTGTCATATCGATGGGTGTTTGATACAGGTATTGCAGTTAAATTACATTGCTGTGAATTATGGTTTGAAATGGCAAGTGATCTATCAAGTGGCTGATATAAGTGTTGCATGCTCGACAGATTTTATAAAGGAAGCATGGTGAAACTTGTGGTGGAAGTGTTAATAAAATGAATTTCTCATTGATGAGTATAAGGATATACAAGAGGTGAATGTAGTGAAAGATACTGCCCATTTGGTGGAAACAGTGGGCTGTTATTCACTATGAGCTTTTCAATCCTAAATGCACAGTAACCTCTGAATTTTGCTGTATTCAGAAATGCATTTAAGTTGTGTGAACTTGCCAGCAGAAAAGTCCGACTACTACACGATAATGAATGTTCAGTCATATGCAGCACACAACAAAAAATTAAGTGTTTGGTTGGAACTTTCTACATAATGCACCTTATACCCTAGGCTTTTAATGCCATCTGATTAATTACCATTTATTTCAGTCTTTGTAACAGTTCTTAGATGCAAAAACATTTCCAAGATATAAACTGTTAAAATGGGATATTAAAAACTATGTTCACTCTAAATCCCCTGTGTGTTTTCAACATGATATTGACAGACTAATTTCTAAATGAAAAAATGTGATAGACAATGATTATGACTACATATTGATTAATTAGTTTTTTTTTCCATATGACATGACTTCAAAGTATGCCTCTAAAAGCAACAGAACTTTTAAAATGGCTTAATATGTTCTGTTCAGTGCTGTGCTCATGTTCCAAATAAACCAAGATTTGTTTATTTTTAATATACTTTCTTTAATATACTTGTCTTTTAGTACTTTTCATCAACATGCTTCAAAAGCTATGAAAAATAATATTGTTGAATCATAGCATAATTAATGTTACATTTGTCAATTATAAGTTATGTTAAATTATACCGCTTTCTTCATTTTCTGCTAAATGCTTATAACATTTATTGAAAAGTCTGATTTCTTTTTCAGTTCTATTAACAAAATTGTGGTCCATCCTGGTTATGATCTAATAGCATGTGGCACAGTAGAGGTATACTATAAAATTTTGTTGTTTCATCATTAAAAAAAATTAACCATTCAATTCTCACATAGGTCCTATTTACATGCTATGTTTTAAATTTCTTTCTTCTTAGAAAGATTCCCTGATTATATTCAAGTACATCAATATTTTTGTAAAATATTATGATAGTATGAAAAACATTTGTTTTTCAAACAAAATGATTTTAACAGTGGAGTGTTCAGCTTTTTGAATGATTATGCCTGGCATGAGGTGTTTTAAGTTGCTTATATAAATGCATTGCATTAGGTTCGAAGATAAGTATCTTTCTGAAAGTGCCAATTTAAGATAAAATACCTTTTTAAAATTTTAATTATTATTTATTTATTTTGTAATAAAACCTTCTTTAACATAGAAATTCTGGCTTTGAATGAATATGGGTACTTTTGCATCTTACAAACATCAGTGCAGTTGGTTTTGGCCAATTTGCATTTTAGGGTTGCCATAAAATGCAAGGGACATTTGGCAAGAAATTGCCCATTTGGCGACAAAATTGGAGATATACCAAGGATGGATGGAGAACCTTCTGGAACGAATTCTTACCGATTTAGTCCAGAATGTTCTCGAACACAAGCCGAAAACTATATAAACCCTGCTGGTCCACAGTCAGTGTGTGAGAGTGCCTCGTCTAGAGTGTGAGATAGTTAGTATCAAGTGGGCCTCGTCTAGCGAGCTGACAGTACTCGCTCAATGACTAACTGTCAAAGTCTAGCGCCGAGTTGGTCGTCGTGTGCATTGAGAGAGTCTCAGTGTATCGTCGAGAGAATGTGTTGAGCTCCAGGAATGACTGAAGCAAAGAGTCGGGAACTATGCTCTGTGTCGTCGAGTTCATCGCAAGTTGTAGCGTAGAGAGTCTTGAGAGTACGTAGAGTTCCGAGAACGACCCAGGAGAGTCGGGAGCTGTACTCTAGTGATTTGTTGTGAAGCTGTCTTCACCGTGATAGCCTGAAGGCGGTGTCGCTGATTGTTCCAGCGTGTTTATTGTAGATCTTCGAGGGCTGTAAAAAGTGACATTGGAGCTGTCCTGATTAATATTAGCTAAATAAATTGTGTTTCGATACTTCATCAAGTGATGTCATCGTTATTCACTCCAAATCTGCACGAACCCTGTACTAATGTAAAGGAAGAAAATGTTATTCTTATATATTTATTAATACTGTTTTAAATAAAACATATATAAAACTGAAATTTGGATTTTATGTCATAAATTCAGCAATCAAGTGTAATTTTAAGAAGGGGTGTAAGTATGTTTTACACATGAGCACTAGCATTATACATAAACACAGATTGGGAGAGCATGAACTAAAAAGGGAAGTATTTGATTTAGTTAAAAATAATTCCCATATTATTTCTTATATTCTTTAAAAAATTATTTATTAAGTAGTTTGCTTCTATTCTTTTAAGTTTTGAAAAAAAAAAATTGTTGCATTATTCTCTGAATTGCAAATTAGTTAAATGGCCATGCACTTACAAACATCATTGCAGTTGCCTTTATAATATCTGCAACTTAAATCCAAATATTATCCAAAGGAGTACGTGCCATTTCTGTATCATAAACTGACCAATTTAATTACATTGATTGTAATAAAGAATCAGTAGAATCAGTAGTAGTAGTGTAAACAATCAAGAAAATAACTTACAGAAAAAGTGGTTCTTTGATGTGTACAGAATGCAAATCGAACTTTAATTTACAATGAATAAGAACATAATATGTAATTTTTGTTTTGTAAGTTTTTGCAAGCTTTTGTAAGGCATTCCAATTTATATTTCAGATTGTTACAAGTGTTCGTTATGTAAATGGTACCAAGATTATCAATGAATCACCAATGTCAAATCACCAATCTTCAAATGGCTGGCAGCTTTAATGATGATCATTTGTAGTTTGCTCATGACAAGAAGAGCTCTGAGTAGAACATTTGTTTCATTTTCTTTTTCAAATAAATGTTGATAATTTGTAATCATTCGTATTTCTTTTATCACAAGAAGAGCTCTGAGCATCCCATGTGTTAATGTACATTGGTGGAAAATGAAATTCTAACACAAGAAATCAGTTTAGGGGACTGAAATGTAGACAAAGTATTGCTGTCTATGTAACATACTTATTTGATTAATGTTTCAAGGTCACAGGTTAAAGTACAATTAAAGCTCAACTATCTGGAATGCTCGGGAAATCCAAGAAAATTCCAGATAACTGAGCATATAAAAAATACAGTTCACAGTAGAAAAGCCAAATGAATAGAAGAAAAAATTCTGTTTTAAAGTTATAAGAAGAGTTACTTTATTTGTTATCAACTTGAATATCAAGTTTGAAAGAAAAAAAGAGCATTTTAGACATAAATGGCAAAGAAAAAGATACTCAATTATAAAATTCTGTTAGCCATAAAAAGTGGCAGAGATCTTGCCAAACTTGCGCCAGTTATTCAGACAGAAGTTTGTGGGAACAGATTGCTCTTTATTTAGTTGATCAACATATACAAGTAAAGGGCATAATATATAAAAAAACTGGTACTTTAACACAAGCACCTTGGTGCGATTTGGCAATTTTTTAATAATGAAAAAGTAAAAATTATTTATTTGGTGCAAGTTGGTGGTTTTTCGCACCTTTTTTTTTTATGAAAGATTCTCAAACTATGGATATTTATTTTCAGTAAACATTATTAACATATGAAAAGAAAACACACTTTAGCAATTTAAAACACAAATTTGAATTATTAAATAAATATTAATTAATACATTATAAAATAAAACACATTTTTCTTCAAATCTTTCTGTAATTTTTTTTCTGCTATTCTTCTCTCAAAATAAACAGTGGTTTGCTTTCCCTTAAAAAAATCTGAGAATTATGGAGACTTGATTGCTTGCAGTCCTCAGCAACAGTAGCTAGTGAGGAAACATATTTCCTTATTGTTCTCTTTAGAAAAATTTTGGCAAAATCTGAGTTTCTGTAGAAATTTTTCTGAAGTTTCTTCCATTGCTGGCAAATTCCACCAGCTCATATTTTAAAACTAAGGCAAACAGTATCATGATTTGTTTATAAAAATCTGTTTTCCTTTTAAAAAAATCAAAGAATTTTTAAGACCTGACTTCTTGCAGTCATCAGTAAAGTGGCTATTGAGAGGGAAAACACATTTCTTTGTTGTTTCCTTTGGAAAATTTCCGTAAAATTCTTTATTCCTGTAGCATTGTTACCTCAGTTTCTTCCATTTCTGGCAAATTTCACTAACTCATATTTTAAAACTAAGTTTAAGGCAAATAACATCATGTTTATAAAAACTGTTCGAATATGGAATAGGCAAAAAAAGAATGCATACCAAAATTAAATTAAACTTGACTGATCGATTGTCATGAGCATGGTTGCCAGAGTTTGGTATATTCTGAAAATTTAGCGACTTCTACTAAGGTGGCTTTAATACATAAGTACCAGAAATCTTAAATCATGTGTCATAATTGTTTACATTACACAGCTAGTGCTTTTTCTATTTTCATATTTTCATTGCATATATTTTGATGCCAGGAATTTGAAAATAGTCTACTGCATACTGTTCCTCTGAAGACAAGTCCCAAGTTCTAATAATTTTCTAAAAAAGTGATTGAAAAATAAATAAGCAGTAGTTAACTTGTATAATTTTTCTCAGAAATTCAGATTTCCGCTTTACATAAAGTCAAAGCATTATGTCATGCTTATCTATTATTGGCACTAGATCACAGTGTTTGGTGATGTTTTGCTTGATTCAAATTGCATGTTTTATAATGAAGTTATAAATCTTACTCACATTTGAATGCTAGATAGTCAGGCTTTTACTGTATGTGTGAGAAGAGACATTTCAGATGGGAAATGATGCTACATTAATAACGACTTTATAGTAGACATGATGTTGAATGCAAGCATGGAAATGTGCATTCTGTTGTACAGGTGCCTTACGTCATTTTCTACACTGGTGTAAGAAATTAAGAGAATTTTAGAATTTTCATATCTGATCTACGATCTCCAGAACTACTGGAAAAATTTTAATAAAATTTGTTGTGAATATAGGTTAATATAATACAAACAAAATAAACATTCAACAGTTATAGTAGACACACATGTTTGTGTATAGCACTCATCGAAGTCTGAAGGTCTGAAACAGTGGTTGCAGAAGACACAAATGAAATGGGTTAATAGGGGGGTGTGGTCCCTTCTTACAGCCATATAGGCCTCGCAATGTGATGTCATACCAATCCATGTGGCGAATATCCTCACTCTCGAGAATTTCGTCGACCAGAAAAGCTCTATGTGGACGTACGTTATCATCCTGTAAGATGAACTCAGGGTCCTCTGTACTCCGGAAAAGGCAAACATAGGGCTCCAAAACCTCATCCTTATACCTCACACCAGTCACAGAGCCTCTGTCAAAGACGTGGAGAGGTGTGCGGTCATTCAACATGATGCCTGCCCAGACCATTACACCGCCATAATTCTTGATTTCACGGACTTTGGAGGGTAGGTAGCAGGTCCCTGGCTCTCTCTCTCTCTATATGAAAGTATGGCGAGAATCGGTGTTTAGGCTAAAATGGGACTCGTCGGGTGAACAGAAAGGTCGCCCATTGCTCCGTACTTCAATCACTATGATAACTGCACAATGCTAATCGGACTCTCCTTTCCATAGATGTGAGCGAAATGCAAACAGCCTGTCTTCTGGAAAATAACCATCTCTCATTCAGTCTTTTGGAAACATTCACCCTTGTTATGCGGGTTTCTGTGATCCCGAAAGAGCTGAGAAACTGTAGCCCCTCTGTTATGTCTTGCTAAAATGGACAAATAGCAATCTTCTCTGGTCGTCATGGCTCTTGGACGACCTTGTCCAGGCTTTCTCTTGATGGATCCAGTATCCTGGAGCTGTTTCCATGCGACTCTGGGTGTTAAATTAAACTCTCTGCATATCTGGACTTGCGATTGGCCTGTCTCTAGCCTCCCCACAATTTGCCACCTCATTCCATAATCTAAACATTGATGATTACTTATTTTTATTGCTCCGATGTGAATTTAACTGATTGCTGCAAGATAACACCAAGAAATTTGCTGGGGTGTGCTAGCGAACACAATTTGTCTTATCCTCTATGCGCTTATAAAGCCTGCTTTTCTGCTCGCTCGGCCTACACACATGTGTACGCTTACACATTTGCCATACAAGATTTGCATTTTTGTCTTTTTTTTTTGTTTTCCCTTCAGTTCAGTTCTTTCCATGCAATTCGATAAAATATGCAAATTCTCTTAATTTATTTCACAAGTGTAGTTTCACCAGTTTCATGCCTGTGGCACTTTCAAATCAGCAATAGTCTATGCTGGTTATGGATGATGCTGGCTTTGTCGTCCAGTCATGTCCCATGTGTGCTTGATTGACAAAACATCAGGTGATCTCACAGGCCAAGCAACATGTTGACACTGTAGGGCATGTTGGATGATAACAGCAAAATGGGGACAAGCGTTTTTCTGTTGGAAATTGCTCCCTGAAATATTACTTAAAAATGGTACAATGTTGAATGTTATCGAGTGAAATATTACTGGTGAAATCAGTCTGATGGACAAGTTTATTGTCAAGTTGTGTAAGATAACAATGAGAATGATCATGCTGCCATAGGAAATTGATCTCCAAGCCATAACTCCTGGTGTAGGTCCATTATGTCTACACTACAGAAGCTTGGTTCCAAAATGTTCACATGGTCTTCTTGTAGCCAACATACAGCCATTACTGGTGCCAAGATAAAAACAGCTTTCATCGGAGAACATAACTGATCTCTATTCCATTATCATTTTGAACTATAGCTTGACACCACCAAAGACACAGGTAGCAGTGATGTGGAGTTAGTGGTGTGGCTGCTACAGGAATTCTGGTATTGAGCTATCCTTCAGGTAATAGGTTTGTTACAGTTTGGTGTGTCACTGTGGTGCCAGCTAAAGCTCAAGTGTCTGCTGCAGATGCAATCTAGTGTGCCACAGACATGCAGGGAATACTGCTGTCTGTCTTTTGAGTTGGTAGCATGTGTGCAGCCGGATGTTGGTCTTTTTAAAACACAGTCATGCACAGTGGATGCATCCCTGCCAGGTCTTTGTGCCATATCACAAAAAGAAAATCTCACCTTCTTGTAGCCCTGTTACACAGTCTCATTCAAATTCAGTAAGCTTCTCATAGTGCCTTCTTTGTCTTCTTAAGAAGACGTCCGTGATTCAAATCTCACTCGCCATGCCAAATCTGGAAGTTAAATACAGCACATGAAGTTTGTGTATTTAAAGCAAATGTAATTTACATGTTGATAGTGCTGCTACTAGTGCCACACTTATTTGTCTAGGGCAAAATTTGAATAAATGTCATCTTTCAGGTGTACGAACATGCTTCCCAAATTTTATTTATGTGACATATCTTCTTCTTGTGTTTGGGATTTTAATTTCCGTCAGAGTATTTAAAAAAAAAAAAAAAAAAAAAATCTGTTTTTTGATTTATTGAAAAGTGAGGAGGAAGCTTTCTGTGAAGAAAAATGCATTTGAATATACAATAATGGCCATTAAAAAGTGAAAGCATTTGAAGGTGCAACATGAAAAGTTGTAAGTGAAAAGTGAAGGGAAAGCATGTGTTTTGACAAATGGTTCAGCAGTTTCAGAATATTGTTTGTGAAGACACAATGATTTCTTTACTGTTGAACAGAGGAACTAGCATTGATTAAGTGTTAGGTGAAGTGATTCAGCCTTTACAAAGCACAATTACTGATTGGACCAGTTTTATGAGAGAGATATATTCTGTGATTCAGTCTGACAACTAAATAAGTGAATAGGTGGTTCTGAAAAAGTTGTGGTCATAAATGAAAATCTGTTCATATGGGGGGAAAATGCTGGCGGGGGTCTTCCATAGCACTGTATAGTTGGCGGGTTGTTCTGAGAAACTGGTGAGTTCTTTCTCACACAATTTCCAAATCGAGAGGCAACCACACTTATGACAAAAATTGATCATCACTTGCAAGGAAGACTGATGATTTATTCAGACTATTGGCTTGCATATCAAATAGATGAATTGAGAAAAGCTAGTTAAAGAAATTTTACCCTGAACCTTGAATTTATTTTGTTGTTCCAATAACAGCTGTTGATACTCAAAATTATTGAAAGACTAGTAGAATCAAAAATAGAACTAATAGAAATAGAACTAATAAATATAACTAATAAAAAATAGACTAGTAGAATAAAAATCAACGGGGCATAGTTCGCCATCTTTGGGAGTGACATCTTGTAGATTTCACATAGCATAAGTCCTTGGGATAAAATGCTTCTGATTTTATATTAACGGCAATTAAGGAAACATAGCATCCATAAAGTTGTATGTGTATGAGAAATAAACATGAGCTTCATGATAATCCTAGTGCCAGCTTGGCACCTACAAAACAGAGACTCTAATAATAAGGAAATACCTGAAAAAATTACTTAAAAATGAAAACTAATTTTTTCTTGTCTGATGTATCAATATTGGTTAAAATTCATTCTATTAATTCTACTTTACTTTCTTCCCTCCCCCTTTTTTTAAAGTCAGTGGATTTTATTACTGTATTTGTATGCGAGTGTATCAGGAAAACTACTGTTATCTAGCAGGAATTCTCATTTGCTAGAATTCCATTTCATAAAGATAAATTGAGATAATTAAATTGACTTTTTTTTTGATACACAGAATTCTATTATATTTTATTTAAAACATTTTTTCTTATCTATATCAGTCTTATCTGTTTTGTTTCTTATAAATTTTTAAATGTTCCGTTCTGCAAAAACAAATGTGGAATCTAATAGATTTTTATCTTTTACATACAATGTTAACACTTGTAAAACATTTAAACAAATTAACTTTAATACTGAACTAAAAAAAATAGGATTATTGATACATGTTTTTTTCTTTCACTTAGCTGTTGATATACTTCAAATAAATTCCATGATTATATTTTATATTTTCAGGGAAAAGTAGAAGCTTGGGATCCCCGAATGAGACAGAGAGTTGGAATTTTGGATTGTGCTCTCAGTTGCATGGCTGATAATACATTGTAAGGTATACTTTATGCAATTTCTTTTAGGTCTGTGCTTATATACAAAACGCAGATAACTCTGATATCACTTTAATAACATAAATACTAACAAACTATACTTCATCTAAGATTCTCTGCCGTTAAAATTGCGAAATTTCCGAGATTAAAAGAAAGGAAATTGTGTTTTATACTTATAGCTTTGAATTATGCCTTAAAGCATCATATTTATCATCAATAACAAGATTTTAAATTTTGTTGCTTTTATACAGGGTGGGGCAAATAAAAGTGGCTCGGAGAACAGAGTTCCTCTATTTTCCTTGCCACTTTTATTTGCTCCACCCTATATTATGTGCATATACTGCATTGAGAAATAAATATTGAGAAATATGTAGTCATAAAATATAACATGCATTTGTGGATTGTGTATGAAATATGTATTTACAAAAATACTATTAAAATGCTTCACCAGTGTCTTTCAAATTTCAGAATTTATTAAAATACAGTTTTTTTCTGTTCCTATTTTTCTCTGTTAATTTATTGTTTTATTTAGAAGAATAAAATTTGAAATTCCATAGAATGTTTCCTTTTGCCTGTTTATTATTCTTTATTATTACAAAATTAAAAGCTATATAGAATATTAAGAAAAAGATTACATTATCGTAAATGACAAATTGGAGTTTTTTCAGGTTACTTGGTTTAACTGGCAACAAAAGTGCCAAGGAAAAAATGTTGCCAATTTTAGGTGCTATACATATGTGATATTTTAAGGCTTAGGTGAAAACATAAAGAAGACGTTAATCAAAACTGAACTGATGAATCAACATCTTTATTTTTACACACGTCAAATCATCTCTTTGGCAGACAAAATATTGTTATGAATTTGGTATTTAAAAAGCTAATGTTAGTTCAATTATAAATTAAATGGTTTTATTTCCTTCGCAGTGCAGTGCGTGACGAATAATTGAAAATACAAGAGTGCGTGCATTAAACATTTAATAAATATCTCTTTTTGATTTCGAGAAAGTACTAGAAAATTCTCGTGCACAATTTTAAAATCTTATAAAAGGAGGAAAACCTTTCAGTTCGTTGTAGTTACTTAGTTTGTTGTTGTTTAGAAAACTGCTCTTGTTGACTGTAGCGAATTCACGGATTAGCTTTCTCTAGCTGTTTTGAATTAAGTTCTTTTGAACGTTTGAGTAGTTAGAAGATAACTACTGTGAGATATTGTAAAACTGAAAGAATATCTGAGGGAATTTAAGCATTTTGTGATAATAATAAATTTTTTGTTCATTTTTCATTGGACTTGTGCATTTATTTCGTAACGAACACGTACGCACGCAACAATTTTTGGTGTCAGAAGTGGGATACTTTGAATGCCAATAACAAGAGCGATGGAAGAACAATTGAGGCAGCTCATCAGTGCATTTGCTGCGTTCCAAGAAAAGATGGAAGCTGGCCAAGCATCATTTAAAGAAGAAATGAAAGAAAAGGTGGGTGCTGGTCAGGAAAAGATGAAAGATTCTGTTAAAGATGAGATGAAATCAGTCAAAGAGAAAATGGATGCTGGTCAAAAATCTGTTAAGGAAGCTGTTAAAGAAGATCTGTTAAAGATTTTTGCATTATTCAAATTTCTGGGCAACTGCAACACTTTTACCAACATTCATTTATTCAGCTATATACTTTTCTCATGCCTTCTTCTCAAAGATTCCTAATTTTTATTCTCTATTCAAACAATTGATCCTATTGAGCATCATCCTAAAGAAGCATATAATTTAAAGCTTCATCTTCTTAACTTCATGTACTAACATCTTTCATTGTTAGTCCTGTTGGAATAAAACACTAATACAAGAGTACAAGATTTGCATGACACCCCAAGAAGCAAATTTCCACAGAACAGTGAAGAGACTTTTCTTAGTAACCTGTTCCTTTTTCAAAAATATAGCCTCTGAGAAGCTAGAAGTTTTGTCCATTTCAGAGAGTGTATCACTTTTAAGGAATCTGTTTTATGAAATCGAGATCCGACTTACTATGTGCAATAAGCTATATTCTTCAATTTATCTCCTGATTAAAGATTAATAACTGAAAACAGTATGTATTTGCATTTTATTTCGAGTAATTGTAAAAAATTTCTTTAATAAAAAATATTTTACTGACTATTAGCATAAATATATTATAATTGAAATATTGTTTTTTGAAAAAAAAAATGTAATTGTTCATCTGTATATGTGTGACAGCATGCTGTAATCTTGATGTATTTATATTTTTATTTGAAAAAAAAAAAAAAAAAAAAAAAAAAAAGTCTTTTTTAAGTCTGTTTAAATTTAAAAAAATAAAAAATACAAAGATAGAATTTTCTATTTCTCTCTTTCTCCACACCTTTTTGTCTTTCCTTTTGTTTTTCTCTTTTTGTGTTTGTGTGTATCTATAAACTTCATTTTGTATAAGTTTTATGAGATAGAATATTGTATTAAATTTAATTTATTTATATTTCAGTGTTGAAGGTTTCCCATCAGTAACTGCATTGTCTTTCAAAGATGGTTTAACTCTTGGTGTTGGCACTTTTACAGGACAAGTAATGCTTTAAAAATATCTTTGTATATCTTATCAGTCATCGGAGAATGTGGACTTTTCATATCCTTCCACAATGAGCTGTATTTATGTAGATTATTTGTTTACCTTGATTTGAATGGTTTTTTATACTGTTTTTCATAATATTTAAATCATGAGAATAATTTCTATCTTACAAGAAATGAAAGAAAATTAGAAATAATAGTAAATTAGTGTCCTGAGTAAGAATAATACTGCTGTCAAACCTGCTAGCTACCCGTAATTGCACATCAGGAAAAAAAAAAAAAAAAAAAAAAAAAAAAAAAAAAAAATCCAGCAATCTTTTCTTTTGAGACATCAGATTGCTTGATTTGCGTGAAAGCCTACATGAGATAGTGAAATATTTTTGACAGTGCATTAAAATATCATACTTATGTACCTAGAACATAGCATCCAGTGAATTTCATCTAGGAATCCACCTGCTTATATTAGTATTGCAAGACACTTGTACTTTAGAAAAGTTTCTTCTAGTATCATACCTCATTAGATGTAATAACCCTATTAGACAATTACATTGATGGAACATACAAATATGTAAATTTTTCAAACAGCCATAGTAGCAGCTATTTATTTCTTAAAAAATAATAGTAGTATAGATTAAATGCTAGAAAAGTTTATGAAATTGCTCTTCTTTTAACAAAATCTATTAAAAATTTAACAGTATGCTTTTATAATTATGATACCAAAAAGAGCAAAATTGCTGTCTTTAACCCTTTGGCGCACAATGGTCACGCCCTGAAACCACTAATTTTCGATTTTTTTCCCATTCTTCTTTCCGAACTATTTGAGTGAAAACCAATTGCTTGCTTATCTTTTACCTTTAAATAACGCAAAATTACTCCAATACCATACATTTTTTAGGTCTTAGTTATTCAAATTTGCCTTTTAAAATTCATTTTCAATGAGACAGAATAACTTCATTTTATTAATATTAATGACTTTAAATTTCAAAAGTTATTCATCACACATAATTATTTCTCATGATTATTCTTATTATTTTAGGCACATAATTTGCCTAAAAATTTGACTCAAAACAAGCAAATTTACATTACAATGTTAATTTACATTTAATGTTGATGTCTAAAAGACAGTATGTTAGAGTGCAGGCAGGGTAGATCTTCAAAAGATAGGCCAAAATGGAAATTACATAGCAGTTTCAATATGGATATTGAAAAAGAATTAATTAAATAATTTAAGTTGAAATCTCTTAAATCTTTTAAAAATTTCTTAAATTCCTTTAAGTTTTATTTTTATATGAATTACAGTGTTAACTTGAAAAATATCTCAAATTTATCTTGTCTAATCAGGAATATGCTTTATATGTAATAGCAAAAAAGTATGGAATGGAAATCTTGTAATTGGGATAAAAGTGGCCCTGCTAATCTTACAGTTAATTTTGATTTATGAATTTTCCAATTTATATGTTATGCGCATAAGCAGTTTCAGAAAGCATTTTATATTATAAATATAAATGAGTAATATATAATTATGTGTTTGCATTAAATTAGCTTTATCATACATACTGGCTTAGCCTTTTAATTTAATATATATATATATATATATTTGTATTTTATTATGGGGATAAATAAAAAGTGTGAAGATTCTCCTTTTTTTAATTATTATGTATGCTTTTTTGAGTAACTTTACATTAATTTAGAAGTCAAATAACAAAAATCAGCATTATATGTGCAGATTTTCACAGTTTTTGTTGTTTGTTTTCTACGAGTAAATTAATACTTGTTTGGCATGTTATTGTATCTTAACTTTGTATTGATAATCATACCTATCATAATATAAGTGGTATTCAAACTGTATTCACCACCAAATGGGGTCACAAATATTTATAATAGGACTGCAAGATGGAGAAAAATCCTAAAAAATCTCATTATTTATCAAACTGATGGTATATAACTAAATTTGATGCTCTTATTGGGGTTTGCAAAATTGTTTCTTTGACCATACCATACATTTGAATAACACTTGTCTATTGGTAAATTCAGATTGGTCATTCACCGCCAAATGGGGTCACAAATATTTATAATAGGACTGCAAGATGGAGAAAAATCCTAAAAAATCTCATTATTTATCCAAGTGATGGTATATAACTAAATTTGATGCTCTTATTGGGGTTTGCAAAATTGTTTCTTTGAATTGTTTGCATTTTTATGGGGTTGCACTGAATACCACTTGTCTGTTGGTAAATTCAGATCGTTTTTGAAGTGAAAGAAAATAATAGGTTTTTCACACGTTGAATAATATTTATTGTAGTATATAATTTCCATAGTTACTTATGACCTTTAGCCACCACACACAATTTTTAAAAAATGTCTTGGCATTAAAGCTGAAGAGCACATATAGTGCTTGACTGACATCTACTTCAGTACTGAATATTTTCCCTTCAAAAAATTTTACAAGGACCAAAACAAGTACTAATCAGAGGGTATTAGGTTTGGGGAGTATAGTGGATGTGGTAAAATTTCTGAGCCTAGCTCTGCGATTTTCTCGTGAGTTACAAAAGCAGAATGTAATTTGGCATTATCATGGTGCAATCTGATGTGTTTCCCATTGAATATCACTGGCCTCTTTTCTTTAACTGCTTTGTTTAAATCGTTCATTTGTTGTCAGTATCTCTTTGCCTTTGAGCTTTTTGTTAAGTATCAAAAGCTTGTTTTGATCCCTGGATTTTCCACCATGTACACAGCATCCTCTTATTCAGGCTCAAGGTCAGTTTAATGGTGGTATGGGCAGGTTCAAGATCACTATATGCTCTTTTCCTAATGTTGTTTTCATAGGTAATCCACTTTTCATCACCAGTTATCATCTTGTCCAAGAAAGATTCATTTTATTTCAAGCAAGCAGAGATGAGCATATGACTTCTGAACGATGCAAATTTTTGTCACTTAACTTATGAAGCAAACATCTGGAATATTTATAGACCAATCCTAGTTTCCAAATATGGTCTGAAATGGTTTGTTAAGCTGAGTTAAGTTTTTCTGCTGTCTCTGAAGTTGTCACAAAAGGGTTTTGCTCTATCATGGTTTTGCCATTGATCAATGATAGCTACCTAGAAGAGGGCTTATCATAAAGGTCGAAATCTTCTTCAAATTTTTTGAATTATCTCCTGCACATTCTATCTGAAACAGCATCTCCACTGAAAACTTTTACTTAATTTCAATATGCTTCTGTAACATTTCTTCTCTGCTGAAATTCATATAAGTGCTGTGTAATAAGTTAATTGATAGTCAATGTTAGCATGATCGTATCTAACTTAATAATGATATGATACACTTTTGTTTCACTAAATTCAGAAGAGCACATGTGTAAAAATGCAGTGATAAAAAGAGACATATATGTCTCAAATGAACACATGCCTGCCTGTTGAAACTTGATTAACCATTATCAGATACCACTTTCTGGTAGACTCAATGGAACTACTCTTATATGCGCCCTCAGGTCGCCAACTTTCTCGCCAAACGTTTTTGGCGAGAAACTCCATGCCATATTTCTATCAAAATTTTTTGTCTACATTTCGAACTGTAAGCCTAAATTGTCTCCAAAAACACGGTTTTTGCACGTGCAAAACCATGTTTTGAACACACAATTTAAGCTAAAAATCCAAAAAAAAACCAAAAAATTTAGATAGCAAAAACATAAAATTTCTAACCAAAAATATTTGACAAGAATCCATGTACACAGCGATATGTTTTAACTTCAGAAAACATCTACAAATTGCACAATCTAGGCAACGAACGAATCTACGAACTACGCACACCTTGCTTAAATTTCAAAGAATACCATGTACACAGATTCCTGTTTAAACTTACAAAAAATCTACAAATTGCACAATCTAGGCATTGCACACAAATCAACAAAATAAACTAAAATAACTAACAATTCAAAAAACAACAATAACAACAGAAATTCATAGTAAAAAAACAATGAACATAACATTCTACAAAATAAAACAATAAAATAAAATGCACTAACCATAATACATTCGTTAATAAAATTTCACCAGTCACACAACCTCTGTGAACAAAAGTGCCATAATTTTGCTATATCACATATCTTTCTGTGATTCAAAATCTTGAAAGTAATGATAAAAACTTCCTTCAAAGTTAACTTACTACACGAAAACCATGATCTAAATCTTAAACTCCGCTGACAGCCACATACTTTACCAGCAAGCATTTAACTGCAAATCCACACACGCCCTTCTTCGTCCGAGTTCTCATAGCAGCTCTGCATTTCGGACTCCATTTTAAAAGTCTGATAAGATAATACATTTCGATCCTCATAAACACACCCGTGAACAAAAGACTCATTAACAACTCCAACATCGTACCTTTTAATATTAAATTTACTTTCCACACAATCTAAAATACGTGACTGAAATCTTACCTTCACGTCTATCAATGCAACATAGGTCATTTCAAAACACACACGAAATGAACCAATGAGCAATTAAACCACTCCAGCAAAAGAGTTTTCTTGGTAAAAAAATGAAAACAATTTCCAATTCCTATAAAACAACTGCTACTGATATCACTACAACTGCTCTCAATAATTGCGTAAAGTATACTAACAAACAGCAGCGTCTTCGCATTCTTGATACAAAACAAGAGAAGCGCCATATTTTTGGCATACGACAAGTGAAGCGCTAGCGCTTCACCGGACTTAAACGAATAAACTGCTAGTAGTTTTTTAAATTTCATTTGTATTTTCTTCAATATAAAAACAATTGTTTCTGTAGAAGGTAGATATATTCTGGAGGAATTTAATAATATATACATATGTAATATATATTATGTGTATGTATATTATTATTATTAATATCTATATCTATATATGTAATCCATCTTATAGTAAGAAACACAAATTTATCTTACATTTATTCATATTAAAAGCATACACAGAAATTAATATATTTATTATGTTATTTTTCTTTTGTGCTCAATAGATATTTCCTGAGAAGTTATTAATTGCTATAATTAATAATGAATTTATATCTGATGCATTTGTTTTATTGAAAAGTTGAGGTAGTAATTATAAAAACTTGCTTCACATGAAATATAGCTAATTTTTAAGCAATAATATTAACAAAACCTTACAATTAATTATTGATTTCAGATTTTATTATATGATGTAAGGACCAATAAGCCTTTTATGGTGAAAGACCATATGTATGGACTTCCTATAAAAAATGTGGAGTTTATCAAAAGTGAGGAGCTTGTAGCATCTCTTGATCCAAAATGTGTTAAATTTTGGAAGCAAAAAACAGTATGTATTAATTTTTTGAAAACTCATATCAAATAATATTTTTTTAGAAGTCTATTTTAAAGATTTGATTTATCTGTGCTCAAAATTTTTTTTTAGTCACATTTTGAACATTTACAAGAGAGTTGGCTAAAAAATTGATGATATTTATATTATATTACATGCCATGTGACATGCCCCTCCGTCTATTGAAAACGGCGTATTGTGTCCACAAATGGGATAAATGTTTAGCTTGTACATAAATTATAATTATAGAATTAATGCTAAATTATAAAGATTTTTTAATTTCAGTTTTTTCTAAGTACACATTTTAAAAAAAGTATAAACCAAATATTTTATAATTCTGTTAAGTGTCAGAAGTGCTTTTCCACAAATGTGTAATTAACTGATGTGTAAGCAGTAGCTGTTTTTTTGGGAGGTATTTCCTTGGATTTCAGTGTAGTATAATGAATTTTTCATTATTTACTCATATAGCATAAGGAATGAAATAACTGATTCAAGAATTTATGAGAGAGTTTCTTACAAAATTAGAAGGGTAAAACCATAGATAGAGTTGTATTATATGATAGAGTACAAAGTCCGATATCTGGACTCGTCGGGACTTCGGTGATTCTGGATTTGGGATATTTCCATGTATTAGATTGTCAGTTTAAATCTAGTAACATGGCATGCAAAAATTATAAAATTAAAAATATGGAATCGTTATTTATAAATTAAAGCGCATGTATGATCTAAAGGATATCAAAATTTAAAAAAAAAAAAAAAAAAAAAGCTAATTCTTTGTTTGTTTGTTTTATTAAACATTTCTTTCAGTGTAAGTTATTTAAGTTGCTTCGTTTTTTATGCTGATACTTTCTTTTTAACTCTATAAACAGACATAATTTCTTGTTCCGTTACAAAGTTCACAAAGTTCCACTGTTCAAGTTCTGTAATTGCCGTGTTGAGAATTCCGACTAACTTGTCAATTTAAATGTTTTCATTTTCAATAACCTCCTTGTCTCTTTTTTCACTATTGATAACGTTATTTTCTGGATATAGAACCATACTACAGATTTTGCCATCCATTCATTGATTGATGATTGGGGTATTGTCATCACAATGAAAAACATCTGTTATATTATCTTCTTTTATTACCACTTCTCCACATTTTTTTACAAAATTAATTAATTGGAAAATTTCACCTTTAGTTTGTGATATCTGAAACCTTCAAATTCGCTGCTATCATCAGCATCATCTTCACCATAGAATATGGTAGTTGGTAATAAATTATGCCAAGCATTTTTTAAAGTATCTGGAGACACATCCCACAATCTTGTGATGCTTCACATGACAGATTTTATGCTAAAATATTAAAAAAATTCTTAAATATTCTTGTCATTGTTCAAGAAATTTAGCATGAGTTTTAAAAATGCTATTTTATATTTGTATTTCAGCACTTGCACTATTCTGGTATCCATAGGCTGAATAATGGAAGTACAATTTTTAGGAAAGAATAATACGAATACATTATCTTTCACTAAAACTTTAAGTGAAGTATGAGCCGAACAGTTGTCTACAATCAGAAAAATTTTTGCGTCATCAGATAAACCAACCATATTCAAATGTTGCTGTACCTCGGATATAAAATGATTTTCAAACCAATCATTCATTAACACTTGTGTCATCATGTTCTTTTATTTGCACAATATATAATGGAGAAAATCATTACTCCTTTAAATGGTCGAGGTCATGAATTTTTCTGATTATGAAAAGTTTGCACTTGTGCGTTTCTGCAGCATTTGCACATGCTGAAATTGTTATTCTCGCTTTGGAATCTTTGACACCAGGTAGAGCCTTTTCTGTAGATGTTGTTAAGGTATTTATTTCGCAGTACATGTTGCCAGAAAAGACCAGTTTCATCAGCATTTTAAATTTGTTCTGCCTATAACTTTTCACTAGTAAAGCATTCAGTAAATTCATCTGCAGTTAGTTCGGTAGCTTCAGTCTCATCTGAAGCTTTTTCACCTGAAATTTTTAACTGCCTTTTACCATGGTGATTTTAAAATTTGGTTAATCAATGTGTCAAATATGTGCACTTAGTTTTTAAGTTCATTTCTTCATAATTTGATTGAGCCATTTCATATTTTGGCTTGAGCCATTAGCATTGGACCCATCAATGGCACACCCTCGCTACTATGCTGTCTGACCCATTCAATCATCACTTTGTCATGATCGTCACTTTTAGCATAATGAACAATTTTTCTGTTATTCATTGCAAGTGGGGTGTCGGAAGCCACAAAAAATTCAAAAGCTCTTTTTTCTTATGCTATACTTCTTGCATAATTTTGAGACAGATATAACTTTATCCATTTTTTTGCAGCTATTCCACTTTTTTGTTTAATGTACATCAAAACACGCTTTTGCTTTGTGAATCCTCTTGCAGCTCCAGAATTAGAAACTCTTTTCGACATAATCAAAAGTTCAGGCTTTGATTTTCACAAAATTGCTGTAATAATAACAGTCTGCAAAAAATAATAAGCTGGATCACATTAGAAGATTAAGGAACAGTGCAATTTGCCATGTTAACTGAAATTCCTTAGAATCAGTAAAGGATAATTTTAGCCTAGCTTAATAATGTCCGCTATAGATTATTGGCTATGTATCATCAGATTGGCAAAGAAAGACAAGTTGTTCTGCTAAATTTTGTCTTGCATCTATCACAGACGGAGACAATTAAGCCTGAAATGTATTAGTTTAGTTATTTATTATACCATTTGTCTCTTTGCACATGCTTAAGGCTAATCTGTGTCCTGAATAAATAAACTCCCACATATACTTAAGGCTTATCGAGGGCCGGCGCTAGATACCGCCTGATGCAGTCATTATGGGTCCTAAATTCTGCTGCAAAGTGCTTCCCTAAGTTCTAAATTTTTGTAGTCCCTAAACTTTGGATCGCAGTACTTTCCCCAAATTATAAAAATTTTGTCATCCCTTAATTTTGCCATCCCTTAATTTTGCCACTCGATGCTTCTTTAAATTCCAAAAATGTTGTCTTTCCTAAATTCTGCCGCCCGGTGTGGCTGTACGAACTTTGATGCCGGTTCTGGGTTTATGTGAATATTATATCAACTATTCTTAGTTCAGATAGCACTAAATGTAATCTTTTGGCCTATGAGTTCCATTAACAAAAACTATTTTTATCATATGAAAAGAAATTTTTGTTAAACTTTTCTTTGTCAACATTTCTTACTGCATTAAACTTAAATCTGTAATTATCTCCAAGCATAATGTCAATGTAAAAGGTTGCCATACTCTTTGTTATTCAATTACTAATATAAAAAAATGTTTAGACATCGCTGCATGAGTCATTATTTAAGTTGTCATATGTTGATAAACATGTGGGGATGAAAGCAAAATATAATATATAAGCATTCACCAAGTTGGCGTCGGGGACATAAAATACCCTTAGGTGTGTAATGATGTTCCTATATGTAGAGTTCCTATGTAGTACCCAATGATGTTCCTATGTAGAGTGTGTCCATTTCAGAAGTATGCCAAGCAGATATGCAGCTACGGAGCCAAATTATTGATCTAAGAAATATATGCTAAAATTGTTGTTTCTTCAATAATAAGGTATTTTATTTAGTGCCTAAGTGAAATTAAGAATTGGGACTCTCCACATGTTTTATTATGAGAGGAAAAAATCAAATGTGCATGCATATAGCATACCAAAAAAAGGGGGCGGGTTGATTGTGGCTTTGAGGTTAGGAGTTTAGATCATTCCGGATCTTGGACTTTCTACTGTATTACCTTTCACATAGACCCAGAGATAAGACATGGGAGTATTGAATGAACATCCATCATAAGGAATTGCATGTTTTTTGATGGTAAAAGAGATTGGCTGTACTAAAATTCATTGGCAGATGTCTAAGATATATGGAAAACGCTGCATATCGTTGGCAAGGATAATGGAGTGGTACAACCATTTTAAAGAAGACAGTAGTCTTTGACAGGCAAATGACGTAATGTACTCTTGTGTCCATATGGGTTCATTATGAATTGAATGCAGAAGTCCAAAAAAATGAATAAGATTTTTTATTATTACAACAAACAAAACAAAGTGCATACATTTCCTTAAATATTTGTACCATATCTCAAAGTAGTTATATTTTAAACTACTAAAAACGTTAATTCAAAACAGAGAAATGTAGAGAAAGCTAATCCGATTTCACTGTGAATTCGCTACAGTATAATCAACAGCAGTTTTCTTAACAAAACTCATAAAACAACAACTAACGAATTGAGAGGTTTTCATGCCGCTTATATAAGCTTTCTAAATGCATGAGAATTTTCTGGTATTTTCTTGAAAAGCAAAAAGAGATATTTATTTATTAAATGTTAAATGCACATGCTCTTGTATTTTTAATTTTAATTTTCTGGCTTAGCTTTCTCTTAATATTTGTCACATGCTGCACTGCATGGGGAATAAAATAATTTAATTTATAATTATACTAATATTAGCTATTTAAACATCAAATCCATAGCAATACCAAAGAATGCAACAGAGGTACTGTAGAAAAAGTATTGAGCTTTATTCAGCAGCATGTAAATTCATGAGGATTTACATCTTGGTGAATAAAGCTCAATACAGAGAAAATTCATGAGGATATGTGGCAACATGCAATGATTTCTTCAGCAGATTTTCTGAAGACTATGATTTTTTTCTGAAGACTATGATTTTATGATGATAACATGAAAGAGTTTGGCAATGGTTTTAAGATAACTCAAGAATGTTATTTTACATCTGGTGTTCAACCGGGACAGATATCTAATTTATTATTGAAAATATTTATGAGAAATATTAAATTACTCTTGTTAAGCTGCTATCACATATCCATTTATTTTAGACAAAAAACATTTTCAAAAATTTTTCTTCCTGCTTTACCATTGAATTCCCCATCATCAACCATCATTTGTAATAGAGAACTAATTTTTCTTTATCCGAAAATAATCAGTGGTGATTGACTGTTTTGTATGACATGACAAAACAGAAAAAAATTTCTAAACTTTTGGAGTTCCAAAATGTCTTGAATGTGTGATAAGACCCTTATAAAACCTTTGGCATTCTTTTTTACTGTATGCCTCTTTTGCACAGGATAGTCATAAAAAAATTTCCTTGATATATGAATCTCTAGTGGCCTGTCTGCTGAGCCAGCTGAAATGAAATTTCAGATATTGTTATTTGAAAGCATGCTCTCAATATTGTGATGATTTAAAATAATAGAGCTTTCACAATAATGGTGACAGTGAAAAAATTTTTTAATTGCAATACCCACTTTTTTCCTATGCAAATTGAACAGCTCATTGAAAAACCATAAATGGTGTTGGAATGATTAACACATGACAAAAATTGCCAGTGTAAAACATTGTAAAAGACCAATTACAACACTAGACAAAACAGGGAAAATATATATTGAGCACTTGTAATGGAGCGTGCTTTCATCCATGTAGAAGTGACCTCTTTGAAGAAGTATGGATCAAGAATTAAAGCTCTTGTGATGCTGTGACACACAGTCACTTTAGCTTCATATGAAAACATTGGTGCCAGACTGTAAGGATTTTGGTCAGCCCATTGAATACAGTTCCTAGAGTTTACATTCTCAGTTAAGGGAAAATGTGCCTCATCCACCCATAATATCCACAGTTGCCATCTGCTATCTTAATCATATCTGATGAAAATAATTCACAAAATCGACATGGTGTTGCTTGTCTCCAGGTTGTAACATCTGGATGCACTGGAATAATCTGCAGAACAAAGCGCAGAAGTTTGATGACTGTGATTTTGATACATTCAAACTGCAGGCAATCCACTTTTTTCAGTATGTAATGGGCCATGTGGCAATCATATTATGAACTTTCACAACAACTTGAACAGCCACATGGTTGTCCGGATAATGGTCTATCCAGTTTCATAATTTTTTTTTGCCAAATCACATAAAGTTTCACAAAACAAGGGTTTCATTTTAACTTACGATTTTGCAGGTAAACTTGCACTTCTTTAGCAGCATTTTTTCCATTTAGATAAAATAGCTTTATCAATTCACTTTGGTTATTTCCCTGTAAGTGTTATCTTGTTAGCATGTTTGAACACCTGAAACCATAATTTGAACACCTGATTAAAGAAACAATCTTTCCACTATGCCTGCTAAAGATTTTCCATAAGCAATACTTTACACATGGTGTTCTGTGATCCCCTATCCCTGTGAATTATCTAAAATGCATCAGTGTGTCTCCTCTCTGTGTTATCATTGTTTCTTTACAATGCTTTGCAAATATTTTATGCTGGCAATTTTCATCATACATATATCATTCCAATGCCATTTATGGTTTTTCAGCATGCTGATCAATTTATGCAGGAAGAAAGTGGGTTTTGCCATTTGAAAATTTCAAAATACTTTTCATGTAACCATAACCGAGAGAAGTCAATTGTTTTAAATCATCACAATCTCTAGCACATACCTTCAAATAACAGTATCTGAAGTTTCATTTCTATTGGTTGAATGAATAGGCTATTAAGAATTTATATTGGGGAAGTGCTTTTATACCCCCTAAAAATTAAAATATACCCCCTAAAAATTATAAATTACACTTGTTTGGAAATAAAATGCTGGTAATGATAACTTTTGCAAATGATTAACTTCATTTCTCTGAAGTAAGTGTAAGAATTAAATAATGCGAAGTACTTCATTTTATGATGACTAAAATAATATTTTTTGCTTATAAGAAAAGGTAAAAGCATTAATTAGTGAAAATTTTCTCCACTTTACTTATTTTTAACACTTTTGTAAAATAATGAATTATAAACTCAGAATATAAATAAGTTTGAACTGATAAATAGAAATTTTTAAAAATGAAAATCGCTATTTTAATCAATTATAGTCAAAAGTCTTTAATCCGCACTCGTCAGGACTTCGGCGATTCAGGATTATCGGCTTTTCTGGATTATAGATCATCAATTTAAATCTGGTAAGATGGCATGCAGAAATTATAAAATTAAAAATATGAAACCATAATTTATGAAATAAAGAGCAATTATGATCTAAAAAATATCAAAATTTACAAAAAAAAAAAAAAAAAAAAAAAAGGGAGCTTAATATTTATTTGTTTACTTTATTAAACATTTCTTTCAACGCGCGCATTCGTAAAGCATACATTACGCATAGTCAAAATTAGAAAATTGCAACCAGAAAACTATTTGATGTGTATTCGTGATATTTATAATGACGAGGAATTTAATTTAAATCATATCAAAGACGGAGTACATGGAGATGAAATACTTTATAAGCCGTATAGAATAAAAATATTTGCCCTGAAGATAAGGATAGTGCTGACAGATCAACTTCCAGTTAATTGCACGCCGCAACATTTCCTCCCACCCCCGCAGAGCAGCGTGAAATTGATAAACAGATCTCAGAATGGTTAGAAAGAAAGGATATGCCTTTACCCATTTTTTGCAACAATTCCACTTTTTGTTTGATGGATATCGAAACATGCTTTTGCTTTCTAGATTCTTTGGCAGCTCCAGAAGAGGAAATTTTTTTTGACATAATCGAAAGTTCAAGCTTACTTTTATAAAATTGCTCTAACAGTCTGCAAAAAATAATAAGCCGGATCCAATTCGAAGACTAAGGAACAATGCAATCAGCAACGTTAACTGAAATAGATAATTAGATAATTTTAGCTTAACTTATACCATCCGTTATACATTAAATGTGCATGCGTAAACGCATATGGGCATGCGTAAAAGTATTATGCGCATGTGTAATAGCATATGCGCATGCGTAAACGCATTAATGCATTTACGCATGCACTGAAAATTTGTAGCTTTGAGGTCTAGATTATAGATCATTCAGGATTATGGATGTCCGGATTAACAACTTTTGACTGTATTAATTTAGAAAACAAAGTTAAATTTTATTTTCACTGTTTTTAATGCTTAAGCAAGAAATACTTTTATTCTGATTGAAATGGAATAAATATTTATGTAATATTTACTTTTAGAAAGTATTCGTAAATGCTTGCTTTATGGTTAATTTAAAAGTGTATTATTTATGCACTTAGTGGATACTTGTATGTTGACCATTAAATTATTTTCAGCTTTTACTTTTTCAATATTCATTTTTAGCTCAAAGAGGCATTAGTCTAGAAGGGCTGTTAGTCTCTAAACGGCATTATCCATCGAATCTCTATAAATAGCTGTATCACTTTTGAACTTTTACCACCAAATGTTATTGCCCTGTATTATATATAAAGAAATTAAATAATGAAGAATCTGCATGAATGTATGTATGTTTCTCACACTGTAAAAAAGCAATGATACCTAGTGCCATCAAATTTTGAATAACATTTAGGAATACTCCACCTGAATATGACACCTGGAAGCCCAAATCTTAAATTTGTTTTATTATCTGTTTGATATATTTTTTAACTTTAACGAATTTTTGATTAAGAAACTGAATGATTTCAGAGCTAACAGTAGCAACACACTGAGTAGAATAAAATACTTTTTATCTCCACTGTGTGAGATTGTCTACCGGAAATTCTAAAGATATACTGTTTTTAAATGTTCTTAGCCCAAAAAGAGCCGTTAGCCCAAATGATCTCGATATATGTATGTATGTGTAAATGAAAAAAGTCCCTTTGGGTGTAATATAAAATCTGAAAGCTTTTAGATTTTTTTAAATTTTCTATTGATATATTTATCTCTAAATCTAAATTTTTATATTTTTGAAGGATATGTAAATTTTAAGAATTTATCTGACCTTCAGTAACTACTCTCATAATTCCACGGGTTGAATAGGAAATTGAAAATCAACATCATATTTATACATATATATTTAGTTGCTTCAGTATAATTTAGTCCTCTAATGGATTGTATGATATTTAACTGAGGCTGACTAATTCTGACACTATCGAGTACAGATTTGGAAACCAAGATAACATTTGTGAATGTGATGAATTTTTGAATGATATTTGATAGATGAATATTTATGATTGTAATGTCTAAGACATGGAGATACTTCAATTCTTCAGCCAGAAACATTCTTGAAAGATTGACTAGTGTTAGAAAAAGAGGACAAATAGGTGCTTGGATTTTATTCCCTGGTTGCGCTCTGGATCAGAATTAGGATGAAATCTAAAAATCTAAGACATGGAGATACTTCAATTCTTCAGCCAGAAACATTCTTGAAAGATTGACTAGTGTTAGAAAAAGAGGATAAATAGGTGCTTGGATTTTATTCCCTGGTTGCGCTCTGGATCAGAATTAGGGTGAAATCTAAAAATATATTCTTCTATCTTTTCTAAATCAACTAATGAGTCAGCAATACTCTCGAAGTTGGGGACTCTTTGCATCTGTAATGGAAAAGTCACTATAATGAGCAGTTGTTTTAGTAAACATTGATTGTATATACTAAAATATTTATTATTAAATTAAATTATCTGGTTTTGCCAAATAATGTGTAATTTTTTATAGTAGTAACATACTATTTTAAATCAGAAACACATTTGCATGCAGTTTTCAAGCTTTTTTGAAAAGTATTGTAGTGCTAAAAAAAATTTTTTTTAAAAAAATTTTTTGCATTTTAACAGTATTCAGTTAATTATTTGTAATAATTAACATCTCATTTTTAGGGGAAGCCTTATACAACAATTCAAGCTCCAGCCCATTTAAATGATTTATGCTTTGTCCCGGAAACTGGTAAAAATCTATTGTTTTCTTTTTTATTTTTTTTTTTTTTTGTTGTAGTTCAATGATGCTTCTATTTTTAATCTGTTATATTCATAAAATGATTTTATATTACATATTCATAGGTCTTTTATTTTTGGCTAATGAAGATAAAAAGATCTTGACATATTTTATACCAGTAAGTTCTTTTGGTGTCATTATTAAAATTTTAAACCATGCTTTATTAAGTTTAAAAAATGTACTTAATTATGAAAGTAACAAATTTATCATGCTTAGACTTCAGATGATCTGATAACTATAAAAAAGTACTTATTAGAATATGGTAACTAGAATTTGGCAACTATAAAAAGTACTTACTAGAATCTGGTATATTAAGTCACAGTTTACACTTGGACAAATTAGTATCAAAAATGGTTTTTAGTTATTGCTAGGGTGATCAGTAATGCAGAAGTTTAGCTAAACAAAATTCATACAAAATTAATATATATTTTTATGGCTTATTATAATTCTCTGTACCATGTCCCTTCTTTCCAAATTTTATTGATGGTTAAATTATGATATATGATAAATTGCATATTCTCCATATCATGCTCTAGGCATTTCACCTGTATGGAAATGCTGCAGGAGCTGCTCCAAATTTTTTTTCAATATATTCAGGTGCTCTCTGTGAATGGCAAAGCTGAGAATGGTTTTAAAAGATTCAAAGTGGAAATTTTAATTTTGAGAATGAGCTTAAAGTTGAGCAACCAGGAAGAAGTGGAAGATGGTGAACTGAAGATGCTTATACAGCCAAATCCACGCATCTTTGCAGAGAAATAGTGATGATGCTTCAGCGTGCATAGTCAAAATTAGAAAAATTCCTATTTATCTAGTGCTAATGTTTGTGCTTCATAGGAACTCGCAGCCCAAAACCATTGACAATGAATATTGGTATGTGCTTTGTGCTCCTAATGAAGCAGAGGTATATTATGACTGGAGATGAGAGATAGCTTCTTTACAGTAATTGAGCTTGGAAGAAAATAGCAGCCCTGATAGCCAAAACACTATTGCATCCAGAAAAGGTTTTGTTCTAGTCGGATAAGAGGAGTTATGATTTACTCTGTATTGTTAGAAAATAACTAAATGATTAATGCAGATATTTGTTGTCATCAATTCAAATAAACTGAAATGGCCTTCTTTATTTTGAATCTTTCTCAGCATAAGTCCAAGTCAGGTACTGCCAGAGTGATTTGATAAAAGCTTAATAATGGGAAATTTTTACTTATCCAAGAATTCAGATATTGCTCCATTCAGTTATGTCCTGTTCAGATTGCTGCAGCATTATGTTAATGGCAGAATCTTCCACAGTAAACAGTAGTCGAAATTATAATAAATGTTTTGCCATAAAATAATAATTTTTTTTTTAAGGGGATTGAAAAGTTACCTGAAAGGTGAGCAGACACTGTAGAAAATGATGGGTTCTATAATTAACCCTGTGAGTGGCATGATTTTTTGGATCTGCTCATGAAGACCTGTATTTAAATTGTATTTCTCAGCTTAATTTGTAAAAGTATTTATATTAGTATGTTTTTATAAACGTTTGTTTATTATAATGATGTTTACATCATTAAAGAAAGTAAGAAAGCAAAATTTTTTAAACTATAACCTAATATATACTAAGTGATAAAAAAAGTCTCATGACTGACTGTATACAACCAGGGGTTAGTAATCAAATTTGTGCTCTAATATTTATTTTCCTTTGAAACTGACTTTCTCAGTTCTGCATTAAAGTGTGATAATCTGACACATTCAGGACCTTAGTCTTGTCGAATTATGAAAGTTGCAGGATTATTGGACCACAAAATGATTTTTTCATGTTATCAAATGTGTAGAGGAATAAAAAAATAACATATTGTAATTATATAAACTTGTTAAATGAGTCACATTTATTAATAAATAAGTTTATTTTAGTATAGTTATATTTAACTAGTTATTTTGAAATCCTTAGCAATTGTGTGTTTTGCCATAATTGAATAATCCAATCCAATCCAGTGCAGATGGTGTCTGATTATTGGATGCATTGAACCATTGGATGCTAGATTATTAGTCTTTTATAAGTCTTTTTTTCCATTGGATGTCCAACCATTGGATGCTAGATTATTAGTCTTTTATAAGTCTTTATTAGTCTTTTTTTCCTGATTGATTTAAGATTAGATCTCTGTGTTTTATTCTCTTTTCCCATTTATTTAATTACATGTAATTTAGTGGAATTTGGATAGTTTAATTTATACTGTCAAAGTTTATGTAAGCTTACATTTTACATGTTAATTCATAATAGATTTGAAAATCTTTTAGTGAAAATCTGTAAAAATTTTACAGTACAAAGTCCGTAATCCGGACGTCCATTATCTGGAATTATCTATAATCCGGACCTCAAAGCCACAAACTTTTCTTTTTGGTATACTTTATGCATGCACGTTTAATGTATAACGGATGGTATAAGCTAGGCTAAAATTATCTTTACTGATTCTAAGGCATTTCAGTTAATGTTACAGATTGCACTGTTCCTTAATCTTCTAATTGGATCTGGCTTATTATTTTCTGCAGACTGTTAGAGCAATTTTATAAAAAATTAAGCTTGAACTTTCAATTATGTCAAAAAGAGTTTCCAATTCTGGAGCTGCCAAAGGATCTACAAAGTGAAAGCATGTATCGATGTCCATCAAACAAAAAGTGCAATTGCTGCAAAAAATGGATAAAGGCATATCCGTCTCAAAATTATGTGAGGAGTATGACATTGGAAAGTCAACGGTGTACAGGGTTTGTACTATCCTTAAGAGTCCTTTAAAGTCCTTAAGTTTTTGGAATCGATTTTGGTCCTTAAAAGTCCTTAATTTCGGCCAAAATCGGCAGAAAGTCCTTAATTTTAATCATCTGAAATTTCTGTCTGTTTTTTATGACTGCCATTTTGAGTGTGAATTAACATTTTGAAGGGATATTTTTGGCAATTTGCTGTCAATTATGCTTATCTTTTGAATGGGTTCATGGGTTATAATTTGTTCCTATTTCTAATATAAATGATGGGATTCTCGGAGTTTCTGAGCCTATGTTTCAATAAACATAAGCATTTCGAAATTATTTCATTTTTTCTAATGAAGAGTTCTTGAACAACTTTTCGCGCTTTTTGGAATATGAATTCTTTAATTAAACTGTTCTAAATTTGACAGCTTATCAACATTTTGGCGATTTTAAGATCTGTTTCTATAGAAAATTTTTAATTCCAAGATCTAGAAATTTTTTGACAGTTTTTTTAGAACATTGTTAAGAATTTAATAATTAATATTTAATATTTTAGTGATTTTATTAGTCATTTTTATTTATTTATTTTTGTACCTCTTTCCTGACTGTGTTCCACGGGGCTCCAGCACATATAATTTTAGAAATTAAGCCCTGTTTATGTCTATAAAATTAATTTTACACTTTTTCGCTCCTATTTTATTTCAAAATATCTCTGGCTTTATGTTGTTACAGAACTGTTAGGGGTAATTTTTTTTAGGATTTTAGACATTGCAGCTTGAAAAGCTAAGAAAGATAGATATGAAGGCAAGATTTATAGAACCACGATTCTAGAAGATTCCAGAAAAATGTGACAAAAGGAAAAATGTCTCCATGGTATTAATGCATAATTTCTTACTTTTTGGAGGATGTCTGGAAAAACAATGAAAACATAATAGTTGAATGTTTTACTTCTGATACTAGAATCTTTTTCTTAACATTTTTATCTTCCCTTTATTTTCTCTACTTTTCACTAGACACAAACATCGAAAATATCAAAAATGCTTCTAATCTTATCGTATGACAGGCATTATAGAAAATAATTTTTTTTATTAATAAACAAATTGAAAACTGACAATTTAAACAATTCATCTAATATGTCTTAATGCATAATACACAGGGATGGCACTAGGCATTTTCCCACCTGATGCAATCTCTGTGGATCCTAAATTCTGCTGCCTGGTGCCTTTCTAAATTCTGCTTCCAGTGCCTGTTTTAAATTCTAAAAGTTTTTGACATTTCTAGATTTTGTTCTCGGTGTGTCATTCTGCCACAAATTCTAAAAATTCTGCCACACCAGTTCTGTAACCGGACCTTACCATATATATATTTCATATTTCTTCTGAATGTTCATATTACTATAGAAATAAAATTAGCAGCTTTTTCTATACATTCTAAATACATTTAGTGTTTTTAGAATAACTGAAATTTTTAAGTAAATCCAAAAATTCTAAAACGAAAAGGAAACATGGAAGAAAGAAATTGAATACATTAAGAGAATATAAAATTATTCTTCAAAGATATGTACAGATATTATTATGTAAATTACCCAGTTGTTTACAATTTGAGCCTTTACTATAATTTAAAATCAATTTTCTCACCAGAATGCAAGTCAATTAAACAATTTTTAAACTGAGGTTTTTGGAGTGTAAGACCAAGAGTGTGTTTCTGACCTCCACTTGCTCCCTGCCAGCTCTGATAATTTGTAATTATTCATCTTTACATTACTGCTGCTGACATTTGAATTTGAATTCGTTATGATGATAGAGTTACTGAGCCCGCTTAAAATGAAATGAAATTGTATAGTTTTTGATCACTAGTCCATATTTTTAGTTTGAATTTGATTATTCTTGTTTAATTACATCACCGTGAGCTGTAATTGATTTTGTTAGCATAAGAACATGCCTTTGTTTTCTAAGTTCTTTTTAAAAAAGAAGCTTATTTAAACCGTTGTCTGATTTTGTAATTACTTTTAGACATAGCGATAATTTGCTTGACATCTGTCCATAGGGTTTTGGACTATTTAACTTTTACCAGATCAAGTAAACTCTCATAGGTACATTTTGGAGACGTTGACAGCTTAGGAGATAAAACACGCAGAAACTATTTAGAACATTGTCTTGCGTATTGAGACAAAGTTAGAAAAGTTGCTTAAAGAGAAGGAAATTGATATAAATTAGACAAAATGTTTGGAAAGGCTTCAAATTAAAAAAATGCGTAAATATTTTGTTGAGTGTTGTTGCGTACAAAACACAAATATTTTATAGCTTTTAATGTGTAATTTTTCGAATATCGTTTAAGAATCTATGTCATAAATTGCATGTATTTTAAACTGTGGAATTTTATTAGATTGTGATTTTAATACGGCTTTTTTAACAAATATTTAAAAAAATAAATAAAATTTAATAGTGTCCATGTAAATCCATAATGACTAAGGTTATCTAATATCTAATTTAATAACTTATAACTAACTGGTTGCCGTTAAAAATTATCTCTGCATTTTAAAGCGAGTTATTGACTTTTATTAACCCTTATTAATGTCACTAAGATAAAACACAAAAATGTAAAAATTCATGTAAAACCTATTCTTCGCATCTAGTGAGACTTAAAATAATGCAAAGCAACTTATCAGCTCTGGTGCTTTAGTGGACAATTAGGACCTTAAAGTATGTTAACTGAGTTACAACCCCTGTAACTCTACAAGAAGCTATGACAGTAACTGGGTCAGACAGAGCCCAGCTAACTTTCAAAACTTGCGAACCGTGCTTATATCAGGCCTTTTAGGTTTGTTCTGATCTCTCTCTAGGGAAGTAGGAGTGGCGACAACAGCCAGTCTTTTGTTTTGAATCATGCTGATTGTGATTTTACTTCTCATTTTAACCTATGCCGCTTGACATAAAATCTACTTACTGTTTACTAAACCCATGGACTGAGCAAGTATGTGACAAAATGAGACTTAAAAATCAACAAAAAGCTAACTGTTAGTAAAACCCAAATAAAATGTCACTTATCTTCTTCCAAATGTGTCCAATTATTATGAGTGTAAAATATTTAATGCTACTTGATAAATTTCATAAAGTTGATTTTATTCTCAAACTTTATTAATAATTATGTTTAATAATAACACATCCTACTTATGGATCTATTTTATTTTTAGAATGGTATTGCAAAAGTGAACTTCAGCATAGCTAATATTTTTAATTGAATTTATTCGGTTCCCATTTGCTTATAGGTCTTCAATTTTTTTCATTAATGGTCCTTAAAAGTCCTTAATTTTCATGTGCAGAAATGTGTACGAAAACCCTGTGTATATGACATAAGCAAAAAGAAAAAGGAACTTTTTGAGTTTTTTGTGGATTCTGACACCCTGCTTTCAATGAATAACAGAAAAAGGGTTAGTTAAGCTAAAAGTGATGATGAATGGGTCACACAGCGTCGCGGTGAGGGCGTGCCATTGATGGGTCCAATGCTAATGGCTCAAGCCAAAATATTTCATGAAGAAATGAACTTAAACACTGAGTGCACATATTCAACAAGTTGGTTAACCAAATTAAAAAAATCGCCATGGTGTAAGACAATTAAAAATTTCAGGTGAAAAAGCTTCAGATGATAATGAAGCTGCTGAACAATTTGCAGAAGAATTCATTGAACTCATTACTATTGAACAGTAACCTCCAGAAAAAATTTACAACACTGATGAAACTGGTCTTTTTTGGTAATATGTACCGTGAAATACCATGGCAACCTCTACAGAAAAGGCTCCAACTGGTGTCAAAGATTCCAAAGCGAGACTAACAATTTTAGCATGCACAAATGCTGCAGGAACGCACAAGTGCAAACTTTTCGTAATTGAAAAAAAATTCATGACCTCGAGCGTTTAAAGGAGTAACGATTTCCCCCGTTATATATTTGTGGAAATAAAAGAGCATGGATGACACAAACGTTGATGAATGATTGGTTTGAAAATCATTTTATACCCGAGACTCAGCGACATTTGAATTTGGTTGGTTTACCTGATGACTCAAAAATAGTCCTGATTGTTGACAACTGTTCGGTGCTTACTGAGTTTTAGTGAAAGATAATTTATCCGTATTATTCTTTCCTCCAAATTGTACGTCTATCATTCAGCCTATGGGTATGGGAATAGTGCACACGCTGAAATCAAATATAAAGTAGCATTTTTAAAATCTATGTTAAATTTCTTGAACAATGGCAAGACTTTTTAGAAATTTTTTAACATAAAATCTGCTGTGTGGTGCATCGCTAGATCGTGCAAGGTTGTGTTTCCAGATACATTAAAAATACTTGGCATAATTTATCGCCAGCTACCATATTTCATGGTGAAAACGATGAAGGTCATAGCTGCGAATTTGAAGGTTTTCAGACATCGCAAACTAAAGGGGAAATTTTCCAGTTATTGGATTTTGTAAAGAAATGTGGAGAAGCGATAAGAAACGAAGAGGATATAATGGAAGTTTTTTATTGTGACGATAATGCCCCAATCATCAATCAATTAATGGACAGCGAAATCTGTAGTATGGTTCTAGATCCAGAAAATACTGCTTCTGATAGTGAAGTGACAGAGAGTTTATTGAAAACAAAAAAATTTTGATTGATAAGTTAGTTGGTATTCTCGACACAGCAATTACAGGACTTGAACAGTGGAACTTTGTAACTGAACAAGAAGTTATGTCTGTTTATAGAATTAAAGAGAAAATATTAGCACAAAAATGAAGCAACTTAAATAAACTTACATTGAAAGAAATGTTTAATAAAGTAAACAAATAAATATTAAGCTTTTTTTTTTTTTGTAAATTTTGATACCCTTTAGATCGTAATTGCTCTTTATTTCATAAATTACGGTTTCATATTTTTATTGTATAATTTCTGCATGCCATCTTACCAGATTTAAATTGATGATCTATAATCTGGAATCGAAGTCTCGACGGGTCCGGATTACAGACTTTGTACTGTATTTATTTGTTTTGTATAATTTAACTCATTTTGTAATCTGATCACGAAAAAAATAATTTAATAGGGTTATTACAAAGTAAGGTAATAAAAAGTAAAGTGACATTTGTATCAAATATAAAAAATAGACTTTAATTTTTCTATAAATTGTTTTATGCATTTGCTGAGAATTTGACATTACAATTGTTCTATATTTACCAGACAAATATAATTGACTTGTTACTATAATTGTTTTATATGTTAGTAACTATGCCATAGTACTGCTAACTAAATGGAAGAGAAACGCATCTAAAATTTAAAGTTAGGGTAAAAAGCAACTTAACTTTGGGTAGATGTTGATTAAATCTCTGTCAGTGTCGAGACTGGTCAAATGCTAGGTGTCCTTCTTCAGGAGGGGAAGAAAATAATTTTCTAACTTTTAAATATTTTTTAAAATTTACTATATATGCTACTATATATTTAACTTCTACGATTAATCTGCTATTTAAAATCTTTTACTATGAATCTGCTATATTTTTAATATATGTAAGTTACATTTTTGAGATATGAAGATATAATTTCATCAACTGGCTAACTAGAACAAGAGATACAGAATATATATATATATATTTATTGTACCTAAGGTACAAGAATTTTATTTAATACTGTGTAATAGTCTATATAGTATGCTATCTATTGAGAAAAATAGTAAACGTGTGAAAATAACTATTTCCCCCCATTAGATTAATTTCATTCAACTAAGTAATATTTTTTGTATTTAATCTTAAAATTTTTACAATTAATATAAGTGTTTTTACAATTAATATATAAAATTTTTATCATCCGTAAAAATTTCATAAATGAAGGTATTTATTTTAAAAATGAAGTGGAAATAATCTTATGATAATGAACTAACTGAAAGTATAAAATTAGACAAAGCAACAACCTTCTGTTTGCCATATATTTTAACTAAAGAAGAAGAATCACTAAATGGAAGGTTGTGCCTAATTTTGTGTTTTATTTTGGTGTGTTTCTCTTCTCACTTAACTAAAAATATTTTGTAGTTCAACCAAAGCTTCCAAATCCCTTGGGATGTGGGTATGAGGATTACTCCCATTACAACAATATTTTTTCATGGTCCATATGATATTATTATAAAGACATCTCACTATATATTCTTTTGTTAAACATATAATACATTACTGATATGTATATACATATACTACTAGTATGGAAAATTAGTTGTCATGATTTCTTTTAATTGATATTTATTTATTATGCATGTGGGAGGAAGATTTCAGCCAGACTTGTATGAAAAGTTATATTCTTATTTATGTAAATCATTTGCCAAAAGGATCATTACTTTTTAATTATATATAGGTATGTGTATATTTTCATTAACAGGAGTGCTGCTAATTTAAAAACCATATATTTAATATAAACTTTAATTGCTCATTTTAATTTTTATAGAGTATTGGCCCAGCTCCACAGTGGTGTTGCTTTTTGGATAATATAACCGAGGAGCTTGAAGAATCAAAGCAAGATGCTGGTATGATTATAGTGCTTTATGTATTTATACTTACACAGTATAATTTATTTTAGATGTATTTGATTTATTAAATTAAACTCTGTATTTTAAAATTCTTCATATTTTGAATCAAATTTATGTACTGTAATTTTTCTCAGTACCTGGAATGGAGTAATAGCTAAATAAGTTTAATTGGATACCTTTTTGCAGTGTTTGCCGTATTGTTTTGAAAAACATTGAACATGATTCTGAAAAGAGTATTACAGCAGTCTTTTTACAAGCCTGCTGTAATACTTTTAATACTCTGAACTAAAATCTATGTGATTTTTATATTATTTTATTTATATTATTTATTGCCTTATTGTTTTGAAAAAAATTAACTGGATTCTGAAAAGAGTATTACAGCAGCCTTTTTCCAGAAGGAGAGTGAACTAAATTTTATGTAATTTTTATATTATTTTAATTAAAACCTATTTTAAATAGTATATTACAGCTAATTTGTCCAAAATCTTTGAACAGCTCATTTTATGAAATTCCTGCATTAACAACAATTTTTGATTAGATTATCTGTATTTTTCTAGTGTATAACCATGCCTGAAAAATTGGGAATTTAGATAATACACTCTATAACAAAAAAATTGACTCAGCAAGAAGGCGTTGTCCAATGGAGACAAAAATTAGTGAATATGAAGATTATGTACAGAATAAAAAATGAGTAAAATTTCAGAACAATGGGATGATTTATTTCAGAGTTACATATTTACAAGGTAACAAGCTCAATAAAGTGTTGACTTACCTCTAGCTAGAATGCAAGTTGGCATGCGGCATGACATACACTGATACAGCTCCTGGATGGTCTCCTGCAGTATTTCTTGCCAAATTTGCTCCAATAGTTGAGCTAGGTAATCAACATTCCCTGGTAGATGCAGTTGCCTTCCCATTTTATCCCAGACATGCTCGATGGAAGAGAAATCTGGCTGGCCAAGAAAGTGTTTGATAAGCTGTAAGACAATTCATAGTAACATGTGCCATATGTAATCTAGCATTATCTTGCTGAAAAATAAGGCCAGGGTACTTCAAAAGCAAAACAGATTGATGTATTGCTGTGCTGTAAGTGTGCCTCTAATGACAACCAAAGAGGTCCAGCTATCATGGAAAATGGCACCCCAGACCATAACTCCTGGTTGAGGGCTTGTTTGGCATGCAATAGTAAAAGGATTGGCACACTGCTCTGGGCATCTCCATACACGTCATCGATGATTGTCACGACACAGTTAGAAGTGAGATTTGTCGCTAAAGGCTATACATGCCCAATCAGCATCATTCCAACTTGATCGAGCTAAGCACCACTGTAATTCAAAAGTGTGCAAGTGTGAGTGGCCGTAGTGTAACGATCGGTACAAGTGTAAATTTCGTTCTATCATGAATGATCTGTGAAAGATCATGGTGGACACTCGTGTGGATCGCACGTCTGATGGTTGATAGCTATGAATCAGGCGCTGTGACAGCTGATTTGACAATCACTCTGTCTTCCTGATCTATTGTGGTCCTAGGTCGACCACTATCATCATGACGCTGAAATCTGCCATTGTCCATGCATTCTTACCAGCATCTTCTAATCGCTGCATTGCTTCGACTCATATGTTGAGTGATTCTCTGATTTGCCCAACTTGCCTCTTCCAGTCTAATGCTACGACCTCTTTCAAACTCTGACAGTTGCTCATAATGAGCTCGAATGCTGCAGCAAGGCACTTCTTCAGTTGTTGAAAGGTATTCTAATTTGCAATGAACAGAAATTTTTAACAACAGTTCACAAAAAGCTCCTTATATACATCTGCTGGATGCACAGTTCTGCTGCACTGGAAATCGCACTATTCATTCATTGGACACCAAATTTTAATCATTTGCATATTTTGTCAAAAAATTTATGCATACAAAATTTCAAAGCAATCAGATGATTCCTTCTTCATACATCGATTTTTTTTTTTTTTTTATTATGTAGTATATCTTAAAGGAAAATAAGCTAAAACATTTCTCAGCTTTTATTCTGTATTCTTATCATTGATATAAAAATAAGGGTCATTCTACATTACTTTGTTTATGAAAGAGAAAGAGACAATTTATATCTAGATGACTAAAATAATCTAGCTGAAATAACAGTTCTGCATATGGAAAGAACATTTTGTTTGAACTATTATGAATCTGAATAGCATTTGGCATTTTATGCTATATTTTGAAGCAGTTCTTAGTTCTTATTTTATGTGTTAATTAATAATTTTTTTTTTCAGTTTATGATGATTATAAATTTGTCACAAAGAAAGAACTTGAAGAACTGCATTTGGACCATTTGCAAGGTACAAGCTTACTCCGAGCATACATGCATGGATATTTTATGGATATCCGCTTGTATAATAAAGTAATTATTATTAATTCTTGAATATATGAGCTATCAGTTTACCTATACATCTTTCTGTATTGCAGAAAATGTATTAAAGTTGCGAAATTTTATTAAGATATTAATATTACCAGCCTGAATTATATTATTGTTATTATTACTAGCCTCAAAGCATAAGATATTATACTTAATTCAGCATTAATATGTAAGACATTACTAAAAGCACATAAATCCTGCAGAAAGCGCATTTAATCTTGCAGAAAACATGTATAAATACATGGCTAAAAATTTGAATATGATATTGAACTTGATCCACATTTTCTTACTTCCATGAAAGGTGCATGAGAACAAGGCTCTTAACTCATAAGCACACATCCTGAGATAAATACTTCTCTGGCCAGAAAGAATTCTGAATAAATAAGTGAATATGTTATTCAGTGTCTTTGGTATCAATGTATCTTTTAAAGTCATTTACAAGATAGTATAGACAAAAAAGCATCATGAGTCATGTACTTGTTTACTTTTCAGGGAAGTTGTATTGGTGTGGGAGCTTTTGTATCCCTTGTTCAGTATTTTTAAGTGTGAAATATAATATAATATAATATGTCTCATAACATTTTGTAAATACTTCTATACAATAAAATGTATAGAAATGTATCTATATGTAATTCTCAGTAAAATATGTATTTAAAAATAACCAGTGTAAAAGATGCAGAAAAAAGTTAAATACCAAAAAAAAAAAAAAAAAAAAAAAAAAAATAGATATTAAAAAAGTCACAGAAATTTGTTAATAGTTTTCAGTCCAATGCTAAAATTAGTCCTCAGATGCTATATATATATATATATATATATATATTTTTTTTTATAACTGAGTCACTCTGGGATTTTTATGCCATTTTTACATATATTAATAATAACCCACCTTAACCATGTATGCATTTATATACATTAACATTCCATAAATTTACACATATTTTGAAGGGTTTAAGCTCTTGTTAAGAAAATTGAGTAAAAAACGAGTAATAATAATAATAATGAATAATAAAGTTTTTGTTTCAGTTTAGATGAAAAGTATAGGATGTGCATCCATACTTTTACTCAAATAGTTAATTATCAGGGTTCGTAGCGGTCCTTATAAGTGCTTATATGTCCTTATATTTGAAAATAAAATATAAAGGCCTTTATAGGTGCTTACTTTTTCTTTAAAGGCCTTATTTTTTTTTTGTTTTTAGTGCTCTTTTTTTACATGAACGCGCAATTTTTCCCCATACCAAAGCCGAAACTAATAAACAACTTTTCTTCCTAATATGGAATGTCAGATGGTGCATCATATTCCCGGAAATAGCTTTTCCCCCTTTCTGTGCATTAACATAACTTTTGGTGTGCGTGGAGAGTACAGACAGGTGCCCGTCATTCTGTTGGTCAAAGAATTGCGAAAGCAGTAGAAAATTCCGGTACATTCGGCATTCTTTTCCTTCCACCCAAATACTACACACGTTTGAATTTCTATCAAGATCTTAATAATTTGCATTCTCGTTCCGCTTGGTCAGTTCATATTCGTGTTTATTATGATCGTTATGCTTATATTATGAGTATATGTATGAATGTTTATAATAACATAGTTGCAGTAAATGCTGAAGTATAGTAAACTTCCAAAAATGGTTGTGTTTTAACACAGATTAGCTTTCTAAGGAATAATATTTCGGAATGGCTTAAATAAAGGGAAAGTAATCAAATAGTCAAAATAATTTCATTTTTTTGGCCAGTACATTATGCAGTAGGAAAGTTGGGAGGTTCTCCCCTTTCTTCGCAAAATCTCGAATATTGAAACTGTTACAGTTCGCTGCAAAACAAGCAACGGACCCTTTTCTTTTTCTTTTCTTTCTTTTCTTTCTTTCTTTCTTTTCTTTTTTTTTCTTTTTGTCGTCACTTTTCAATCTGGATTGAATAGGACTAAAAGTTCTGCAGTCTACCAACCCAAGTGAAGAATGATTCTATTCCGGAAATTTATCGCAGTCTGTTCAAAATTTAAATGAAAAACACCCCAGATTGGTAGGTCTCTTTCTTTTCCTTTATTTAGTTCTTTATTCTCCCAATACTGGCAGCTGTTAATTCCGATTGCATAATATCATGTAGGGAAGAATTATGGCACACGTATTGCGCATGTATTGCACAATAACATTTGCGATATTTTGTAGAGATAATTTATTTTGATGTTCGGTCCGAGATTTGTTTATGAACACTTAAAAGAGTTTACTGTGCTTGCTAAGAATATTTTTCTGTTCTGTTGGTTTGTTTTTATGTGATGCACATATTGAAATGTCAAAAGGATTTATTTAGTGAAACAATCTAAAGAACGGCTACAGTCCCCCCCCCCCCCTCCGCTCCTCTTTTTCAAGTTACGCTTGACTGTCCGAATATTTGCCAATTTTCAAGTATGCGGCTAGTTAAGCTTTTACTGTTAAAGGATGACTGCATGAAGCAAATTTCTGTCTTCTGATTTCAGAAATGTTCCTCTTTTTCACTTAAATTGCTTTGCTTGCAATATCTGTTAAGGGAAAACTGATATACAATGAAAATTTAGAAAATGTTCAGAATTTAGATTTAAATTAATTAAATATCAATATGAGTGGAAAAATAAATTGCATTTATTATTAATTTCCAAGCAAATAGAATAAATATGCCTTATTATTATTTATTTCCTCTATTTTGAACTGAAATTTCATCATTAAATCTTGTAATATAGTTTAGTTCTGCATAGTTTTTTTTTCCTGTCATTGTAAACTAGTTCTGTAAATTGAACTGTTATTTAAAATTTAAAAAAAAGTATGTAATTGTTTTCCATGGCTGAGTAATGCTCATTCTCTCTTAATAAATACTGAATTTCTCATATTTTAAATTACAAGTCTTATTTTTCTTTTAAGGTTATGCAGTTGTGTATAATGTAATTAGACAGGTGCTTATTTTTTTCCCCTAAAATGTGCTTAAAAAGGGCTTATAGGTGCTTATTTTTTTAACTAAAATGTGGCTATGAACCCTGATTATGTCTACATCTCTGAATAACTTGCCTGTAAATGTGAATTCTTGCAATAATTTCTTGCTGTTGTATCTTAAGCCAACACTGTAGTATATTTACAATTATTGCATATAATGAAAATAATGAATATGTATAAAAATGAGAAAAAGCCATGTCACGTTTATTAAAGTACATTTCTGTTATCCTTCCCAATTCATCTTTTTTTTTTTTTTTTAGTTTCAATTGTTATGTATGTATAATTTTTGATCATTTTATGTTTAAACATGAAGTGATATGAGTATTTATTATAGGCGAGAGCTATAATACAGCCCATGGCATATAAAGATTTGAAGAAAAAGATGGTTCATAATAAAATTGAGCTGGAAAGAAAGAACCAAGTCGTCGTTGAAGTAAGTTACAAAAATCTTTATGTGTACCTAAAAGAAAATTAATAAATATGTTTTATAATTTTTGAAAAGTTTTACATTTAAATATTTATATTATTTAAATGTGAATTTTTAAATTTAAAATATTTTTAATGAAAATTTTTATGTAATACAGTGAAAATATGAATTAAAAATATAATGATTAATAAATAGTTAATATTATATAGCATATTAATAAATTGACATACTGTACTTTAGTATTTTTCTTTAACAGATTTTTAAATACTTTAAATAGTGTAAATTCATTGTACATATTGATAATCACTAATTGCTATCCTCTTTAAAGAGATCCATCTACACCAAGGAATAAAGTTATCTGGAGTGGTGGGTGATCATTTTACAGAGTGCTCACCTTATCATACTAACTGCATGTTTCTATGAATTAGTTCTTATAATCCTTTGTTTTTATATTTGTGTAAATATGCAATATAATGATCTTATATATTGTTTACTTTCATCAGGAATTACCAAATGTTAACAGAGAATATGCTCAAAAACTGTTGGAAAAGAAAGTCAATGAAAAACTTCAGGTAATTTTTATATTTTATGGTTTTATGTTTCATTTTTATTCTTTTAACTGTTAAACATTAGAGAAATTTAATAATTAGAAATAAAAACGTATTTATCTAATTATAAGACACATATTTTTATTGATTTCATATATATTTTAAAACTGACTGATAGCAATAACTAAACATTTTGGAAAATTTTAAAGGTGCCTACTCCATTTGAAGATGAACGTTTCAAAGATTTATTTAAAAATCCAGATTTTAAGATCAATGAAACAGATGAAGAATACGCTCGAATCAAATCAACTGTGGAAAAAACAAATAAGAAAAAGGTCAACATTATTTCCATGTCAGATCAAATGAAAACTTTGGAGGTAAATATTTTCATAATTTAATATGGTATGTTAATAATTTTAAAGGGAGAAATAACATATATTTAATTAGAGTTATAAATGGTTTTAAATATTTGTTTGATATTTCTTGTACTTATGTGTTGTCTGTGTAGATAAATTTTGAGAAGCACTAATTAGCTAAAGAGTATTCATGTATATGCATGAAAAATACTTAGCAAGTAAAATTAAACAATTATTTAAAATATTTTTTATTTTATTAAAAATAATTATGGCTCATGTTTTATGCATATGTGGGCCACGGGCAACTTGAATTTGAGACCACTGCCAAAATATATGGTAACAAAACATTACATTTGGTGATGATTACAGACTTAGCTACTTTTGTGGATAAGTGTTGGATATTGAAGAGAAGAAATTTAACTAAAATTTCTTTTCATATACAAAAAAACAGATTTTGTAAATGATATTCTTTGGCAAAAAAATTACATTTAGTGCTGTTTGAATTGAACTTATTATTATTGCAAAGCATGTGCGACAGAATTTAGGAAAGTCAATAGCTTTAGAATTTAGAGAAACATCGAGCAACAGAATTTAATGCATGGCAAAATCTTTAGAATTTGGGAAGTCACTGGAGTTGCAAAATTTGTACAATTTAGAGAGATGCTTGGCAGCAGAATTTAGGATCTGTAGATACTGCATTGGGCCTCTAAATGTCTAGTGCCAGCCCTGAATAAGCCTTAAGTATATGTGGGAATTTATTTTATCAGGTTTCAGGTAAATTTTAAACAAGTGCAGGAAATAGGCAAAACTATAATAAGTAACTAAACTGATATAATTCAGGCTTAACTGTGTCAGCATGCAGTAGAAGAAAGACAAAATGGAGTGGAACAACTTGTTTTTAATGGCCAGTCTTATGATACATTGCCAGTAATATATAATGGATACTCACTGAGATACTCATTGTGAATTTGAAGCTTCTTCAGATATTGCAAACAAAAAGTGAAATTTTCCAGTTAATGGAATTTGTGAAGAAAGGTGGAGAGGTGTTAAGAAATGATGCTATGTCAGAAGTTTTTCTAGTATAGCATTACTTCTTAACACTTCTTTCTTTTGGAATGATAAAGCTTCCATCATCAGTCAAGTAATGGATGGTGAATCTGTGCTGTGGTTCTAAATGCAAAAAATACTGCTATCAGTAGTGAAGAAGGTGACAGAGAAGTTCTTGAGAACAAAAAAATTTCAGTTGACAATAAAATGGAAATTCTTGACTAAGCAGTTGCAAGATTTGAACAGTGGAACTTAAAAACTGTACAACAAGTAATATCTATTTATAGAATTAAAGAGAAAGTATTAGCGAAAAAAAGGAAGCAACTTCAACTTACATTAAAAGAAATGTTTAATAAAGCAAAGAAATAAATATTCAGCTTGTTTTGTGAATTTTAATTCCCTTAAGTCAGAAATGCTTCATTATGTCCTAAACTACTAGTTCAAATTTTTAATTTTATAAATTTTACATATCATCTTATTGTGAAACTGATGATCTAATCTGAAATTATCTGAAATTGAAATCAAGAAAAATCTCAAAGTGGAAATTGCCGAAGTCTCAATAAGTCTGGATCTTGACCTTTGAACTGTTTATGTGTAGCCTTAAATGATGCAATTGTAGCAAACTGTATTTTATTTAAGGACTTGGTAAAATTGATTGTTGGGCAATGGATATGCTTTTCAATTCTTTCACTTTACATTTTTCTGTAGATTGCTGTTAAGAGGATATTTAGTAGAATGTTTGTAAGGTTTATCCTAAGTTTAAAAAATTATCTTTAGTTAAAGCTACTTTCCTGTCCTTCTAATTTTAGCTTACAATTTCTTACCAGAATGTGTTTTTAGAACCGCGCTTTGTGCAAATGAATAAGAGCGGTATTTAAGTCGAAATTCCACTGACTTCGTTAGAGAGCCAGAGTTTCTGACTAGCATACGCTTTCTTTCTGGCTACACTCTGTCTAAGCTATTACTATGCTCGGCAGTATCTTGGACTCTTGATAGCTTCACAAGCTTAGTTGATGTTTAGGGGCCAACTACTTAGAAATCTTTATAGCTTCAGCTATATCTTTTTAGTTAAACCTTAGTTAAGTTTTATTTCTTATTACTTTAAGTTCAAGCCCAAGTGAAGGCTTTGTTGTATGCTCTGAGAAAGGAGCCAACTGTGAAGCTCTTATTTTGAGAAATGAAGGATAATTAACCCTTCTTAAGTTTTACGTTTTTTTTTTTTGTTTCTGAACTAAAGTGATTATTCGCTTACTTGTTCATGAGGTTCCTACACACTTAGCTGCTAGATAAAAGGTTGGACTCCTACATGTTTATTAAGAATTGTTGAAAATGTATTGCGTTCTCACATAAACTATTGAAGTTCAAATCAAGCAAATATATTGGTTCTTAAAATTATCATTAACATTATAATTGAGGTACATTTTTTCCTGGCTCATATGATGCATGATTAGGGCAACTACAAAATTATTAATATCAATTTAAAAAATGATTAACATACATAGCAAATATTAATGCTTGTATGAAACCATCAAATCAGATACTTCATGCTCAACTTCATATTCAAAGGTGTGTGTTTCATGCAGGCTATAACATGTGACTGACGGTGATGCTGCAAAACAACTGGATGTTGCATATCAAAGATACGCTTAAGGATCGACAAATAAAACATAGCATTCAATTCAATCTGAAGCAATCCACTGTGACATCAATGATGGTGTGTGAAATACTGAGAGCAATGCTGCCACACAGTGTTAGTTTGTCAGATGTGCATATGAATGTGTGTTGTAACTGGAATTTTATTTTCTCTTTCCCTTTTAGCATTTGAGTTTTTTAGACTGAGAAGGGACTAGATGTGCACTGTGAGTTATGTGTGGCTCATGAGCAATGGTTCGGGCATTTCTGCAATAAAAGTCTGTAAGAATATACAGAGTATAGAATTAAGAACATGAGAAAAAAAAATAAAGCCTGTGTCAGTATGAAAAATTAGTCAGCATGGTTAGTATAATCAGCTAAGTGAAGAAGATGGGAAATATCTAGAATCTAGAATAGCATGCAGTCATTTAAACTTTTCTTTAAATAACTGGCTCTTTGCTATACAAAGCACATCCAACTAACACTCAAGCTAAGCATTCTAGCAAAGCATCATGCAAACCAATGATCTTTTCTCAAAAGAGGTTTTTTGCTTCTTCCCCCTTTCTATAGACTTTTGACTGTTTTGTATATTTGACTGCTTATTACAATCTTGACGCAGGAACTGGTAAATTTCGTTGATATCCTTTCTTCAAAACAACCGTGCAATTTTTATTACTGATAGGATTATAAAGAAAATAAGGGTTACAATGTAAAAAATATGATGTTTGAGAATTCACAAAATTGACTGACAGATATCTTGCACGTCTGAGACTGGTTTATTTTTAAATGAGTTTAACACAACTAACACATTGTTCATCACCATTTGGGTTTAGAGGCAGAGGTAATAATCTGAAACAGTCTGAAATTGAAATGATGTGTGAATATAATAAAACAGCATGGATGTATAAATGCACTATTTTGGGATAAATTAGAAGAGAGTTCTAACAAGGGTATAATAAATGAGAGTTTTGATAGATATAAAAAATATGTTTTAAATTATTTTTTATATTTGTTTAATGAGAAATAAATGTCTTTGATAAAGATATTTTGTTGCACCCTCCCTTGCATGGTTTGCAGAGTAATCATATAGCTACCTTTTTGTGTCATAAAGGCCTATAAAAGTATGGGGCACATGTGTTGTTCAAGGACATATTATTTGAATAAATATGGTAATTTCAATATTACTAGATAATTTATCACTAGATTTGATAATTTATCACTAGAATCTTAATTTTTCTCAATAAATTACATTATGGCAATTTGATAATTATCTAGTGATTAATCAAATTGCCATAATGTAATTTATTGAGAAAAATTAAGATTAATTTGTAGAAGAAACTTTCAGTTCTACTAACCAATTCAGGCAAGATTTGAATTAACCAAGTTTGATTAATTTAAGTTCTACAGAAAATAAATTGTGAATAACTAATCAGTTTTGGTTCTTCAGTTACTTTTCAAGCTTTTGTCATAAGATTTCACTTGGGTAATTAGATATTTGTAAAGACTTTTGTATTCACCAAAATCAATCAATGCTAATTCATAAAGTTAGTTTGACCCATTTTTTACCAAAGCTTCTAAAAATCACGTCTTGCTTTTTTCTCACATTTTTGATTTCTAATTTGTTTGATAAATGATTTTATTTCCTATTTTATAAATTATTTTATTTTTAATTATTTGAATGATGCATTTCTAATCCACATAAGGGTATATTTTTCTCTTAAAAAAAGTTCTATATTTATTCTCCTCAAAATGCATAGAGTTTTTCATTAAACCAATGGCAGACTGGGATTGATTTTTGCTTAATTATAAATAGATTTCTTTCTTTCTGTATATATGTATTCTTACATATATTCTCTTCTCTGTTTATAGTACTTTTGCATAACTGTAATGGTTAAATCAGTTTCAATAAATGTTTAAAAATATCTATATAATGCTTATTAACATAATGCTCTCAGTGCTGAACTGCATATTTGGGAATATAACCATTCATGGGTGGGATCAGAGTGCATCTTTCATTGGCCAAATGGCCTTGAGCATCAGTAATTGCAAGATGTTCAGCTCTATCCCATCATTAATTAAGAATAGGGTTTCCTAGTAAGTTGCATCTGAGAGTATTTTTAGATGGAAAAGTATTAAATGCCCATTTTCTGCAATGACACATTATTCTCAGAAACATGCACTGGCATTTAAAACAAGCTTGTTTTCTTGGCAGTGGGGCTTTTATCAATTGCCATGAGTTCTAAGTCTGTTGTTATTGTTTTATTATTATTATTATTATTATTATTGTAAAATTGCATTGGTTGAGGACTTAACATTTTGTCGTACTATTATAGGAGGAAGAAACCAACAAGGCTGATTATACATCTTCAGAAGAAGAGGATGAGTCTGAAGATGATGAGGATGAAGGTGAAGATGAATCCGAATCTGAGGACAGTTTAGATGAGAGTAGTGTACCAAGCAAGAAGAAGGAAAAAATATTTGAAGCTGTGGATTCTGAAAGATTTAGCATGCTTCATAATGATAAAGAAGAAGAGGACAGTTTGTAAGTTTCACAAATTATATTTTGCATAATTTTAATTTCATAAAATTATTTGATATTTACAAATTCTAAAGTGAAATTCTGTTATATAAGTACTTTCTGTGACTTTTCATAATTCTTTCTGTGGCCTGTTACCAAATTTAACAATTCATTTTGCTTTTACAGCATTGTAATGTAAGACAACATTGTTGTTATGTAAGACAACATTAATGATTTTCTTTTTAAAATTAGTGACAATAAAATCTATCAATGAAGACATTCTTGGAATGGAAAAGTGAAACTGATTTAAAGAAGCAGATTTTAGAATTTAAAAAGTTGACAATAACAAAAGTAGACAAAGCCAGTGACAATTTCAGTATCATCTGAAAACAGTTTTACAGTTCTCTAATTGAAACTGTACTGAATCAACTGGTTACTTATGGTAAAACAAAGACCAGTGTAAGTCAAGTCTTAGTAAATTTCAGGTTTTTTATCACAAGGTGAAAATTTCTTTCAATTTTGATAGCAATGGATTTTCAAACTTGAATGTTTTGCCTAAATTTCACAAAAATCGGTTGAGTTTAGATTGATTGCCAGTGGCACCAGAATTTTTTTAAAAGAAGGCATTGATTACATTTTTGATCCCAAGCTAAAGAAAATTTGTTTGCTAATTTTTGCTACTGCTAACAGAAATCATTTCCTGTTCTTAATGGCATTTAAAATCATGAAGATGAACTGCTATGATTCTGAAAATCTACATACAGTATATTTCCGAACATAAGCCAAGAATTTTTGGAAAAATTTCTAAAGCTAAATTTCATGAGTTAGCTAATCTTGCAAAGAGCATAGGTACTTTTCCCTTAACTTGACATAAGCATTAAATCATAAAATATTGTAATTTTTTTATTTTAGTTTATATTTCTTAAGTTTATGAAAAAAATTTTTTAATTAAATATATTTGTTTCATGAAAATGAATTGTTTTATTTTTGGCATTGTATTGCTGCCTAAGCAAAAGATTTGATATTGCCAAAATTTGCACCTGGCTTTCTCTAATCTTGAACTTATTTTTCATTAGAATTTTTCAGCAAGCATGATCATCTGTAGTTTGAAATTTATTACTATACAAGACTTTCTCTTCCTGCTCATCTATTAAACAAAGCAGAACATGGCACAGAAAATAAGATTTGCACAGATACCTCAGATTGTATGCGAGACAACAAATGAATGGAATAAATATTCTGGCTTGAGATAGGGTTACCAAGAGTTGAAACTATAGTTGTTGGCATCTGGCATTTTACTTTACAATGATTTGATTAGAAAATACTCCATTTGTTTTATACTGTACTGAGAAGCAGAGTATTGTAAATAAATACTCTGCTTGGCAGCATTTTCACTCTTATGGCAACATGTTTGAATGTTACGATTTTTTTTTTAAAACCAATTCTCCTTTAACACAGGTTTTGAATTTTGGGTTAATTTTTGAAGAAAAAGCATATTCTCGGGTTATTCACAAATTGACTTGTATTTGGAAATATCTGATACTTCATTTCCACTGCAAGAAATTTACAACAGTCTTCTTAATTTACAATATATATATTCATGGCATAGTTACAATTAACAATTTTGGCTTAATTGAGACTTGCAGCATCTACCCACCTTGTTTAAAACTCGGTAAAAAAAAATTCAGATCATTGAGTTTCTAGATTTAAACATAATTGTAATAAAATTACATTTTCTGGTGAAGGAATTTTTTTTTACTCCATTAATATAATCAGCTGGAAATCTAACATTTCTAAAATAGTAAATGGAAATACAATTTTTAATCAGTTAATTAAAATTAAAAATATTGGTGCTTAAGTTTTTACCTCCAGGAGAAGATTATTCTCCTTACCAATACTTTCATTGCAAATAATGTTCCATACATTTTTATCAATTATTTTCTCAAAAAAGTTGGTATGAACTATGAACTACAATCTTTGGTTACATAATGATTGACATTTAAACTGCGATGAGGATAGAGGCAGATGAATAATTAGAAATCAGTGGCAATTTATATTTTGTAATTATATTAGTGTGTATATATTCATCTGGCTTCACTAACAGGCCTTTTTCTTTTCTGTAAGTCCCTACAGCAGCCAGTGTTGCGGAGGAAGAAATAAAAGGAGACACTAATTCAGAAGTCAAACAACAAAAATCAGCGTTATACCTACAAAATTTTCACAGGACTAGTTTCGATGGTTAAAAAAGAAATGAAAGGCTGATTACATTTAATTTAAGCTTTAGGTCATCATCTATAGCAGTAATTATTTGGACTTCTTATTGTATGTCTATTTTTTTAATAGAAAACTTAGCGTCAATCTTTGGGCAAATTTCCTATTACCACAAAAGTCATATAAGTCATACAATATTGCTACATTAGTATTTCTGGTATAGAGAAATGAATATAATAAACATCATAGTACAATTAAGACACAATAACACGCCGAATAAATAAATACCAATTCAGAAGTCAAACAACAAAAATCAGCGTTCATCCACAAAAATTTTCACAGGACTAGTTTCGATGGTTTTACCGAAACATCATCTTCAGCTGCAAAACCGCAAATGAACAAGATAGGAAATAATGTTTAGATAAGATAAGAAAGCCTGGACAAGAATAAGCTAGTGGCGCCATCTGTTGGCGAAACCAGAAACTAAAACATAATTTCTCTAAAAGCCGAAGGCAAATTTGGATTGGAATTAGGATCGTTAACTAGAAACAGAAAGATTTTTATGAATGTGAAATGCCTCTAGAAAATCCAGTTCTCCAATGGAAGATGTTTTTTGAATAATTTTGGCAGCAGAAAAATTGAAAGTGTGATTTTCGGACCAACAATGTTGAGCAACAGAAGACTTCTGTGTTTCCTTTTTCTAACATATGCCTCATGTTCTTTGACGCGAAATTTTAAGGCTCTCCTAGTTTGGCCAATGTAAATTAAACCACACTGGCAAGGAATCCTATAAATACCCCAGGAATTCATATCCGGAATGGGGTCCTTGAGTATAGAAGTTGGAATTTATTGATGGGAGAATAAACAACCCGAAAGTTAAACTTCTGCAAAATATGTGCAACTTTATAGCTAATTGATGGAAAGAAGGAAATGACAACAGAATTTTTATAATCTCCTAAAATAAGAGTGTGGCTTTTAGTGTGTTGAGATGAGAATTTTTTAACTGCTTGATTAATAATGTTGGGTGAAAAGCCCTGTCAATAGCTACTTGCTTTTAAAGAATTTAGTTCTTCATCAAGGGCTAGTTTGGAGGAGCAAACTTGAAGAGCACGGAAAACATAGGAATAAAATGAAGCTAACTTTTGTTTAGTCGGATGACATGATTTAAAGTGTGGTGGAAGGCAAACCGATGAAGGTTTACGGTAAACTGTAGTACTGAAGTTGGATGTGTTACGTGTGACCAGAATGTCGAGAAACGGAAGAGAATTGCAAGTCTCAAGTTCAAAAGTGAACTGAATAGCAGGATCAATAGAATTCATTGTTGAAAGAACTCTATTTAAATCATCTTTATTACCTTCAAACAGGGTAAAAGTATCCGTCTACGTAGCGGAACCATGCCGGGAAGTTTAAAGTTTCAAACAATTTTGATTCATAATAATGCATGTAGATATCAGCCAAGGATGGGACTGAGGGGGCTTCCCATGGCTAATCCCTCAGTTTGCTTGTAATATTTATTTTGGAAAACAAAATGTGTTTGTTTCAAACAGAGTTGAGTGAGAGAAATTAGCTCATCAATTTCGATGTAAGAGAAATGAAATTCACGAAGTCTGGTTTCTAGACATCTTAATGCACCCTCCACTGGGACATTGGTGAATAATGATTTTACATCAAAAGAAACCATGAGTAAATTACGAGGAGAAATGTTTTTAACCTTTTTTACAAACTCTATTGAATTTTTTATGGTGTAAATGTTATTGTCTAATAGAGTGGAAAATCTAGAAACTAAATATTTAGCTGGATAGAGGCAGTACCTAAATTTGATACAATAGGGCGGAAAGGAATACCACTTTTATGAATTTTGGGAAGAGCATATAATCTGGCACAATTCGCAACAGATGGGATAAGCGAATGTTTTAAGTTGCTTGAAATGATTTGCGAAGATTTCAAAAGAAACCATGAGTAAATTACGAGGAGAAATGTTTTTAACCTTTTTTACAAACTCTATTGAATTTTTTATCAAATTCAATGGAGTTTGTAAAAAAGGTTAAAAACATTTCTCCTCGTAATTTACTCATGGTTTCTTTTGATGTAAAATCATTATTCACCAATGTCCCAGTGGAGGGTGCATTAAGATGTGTAGAAACCAGACTTCGCGAATTTCATTTCTCTTGCATCGAAATTGATGAGCTAATTTCTCTCACTCAACTCTGTTTGAAACAAACACATTTTGTTTTCCAAAATAAATATTACAAGCAAACTGAGGGATTAGCCATGGGAAGCCCCCTCAGTCCCATCCTGGCTGATATCTACATGCATTATTATGAATCAAAATTGTTTGAAACTTTAAACTTCCCGGCATGGTTTGCTACGTAGACGATACTTTTACCCTGTTTGAAGGTAATAAAGATGATTTAAATAGAGTTCTTTCAACAATGAATTCTATTGATCCTGCTATTCAGTTCACTTTTGAACTTGAGACTTGCAATTCTCTTCCGTTTCTCGACATTCTGGTCACACGTAACACATCCAACTTCAGTACTACAGTTTACCGTAAAACCTTCATCGGTTTGCCTTCCACCACACTTTAAATCATGTCATCCGACTACTAAACAAAAGTTAGCTTCATTTTATTCCTATGTTTTCCGTGCTCTTCAAGTTTGCTCCTCCAAACTAGCCCTTGATGAAGAACTAAATTATTTAAAAGCAATAGCTATTGACAGGGGCTTTTCACCCAACATTATTAATCAAGCAGTTAAAAAATTCTCATCTCAACACACTAAAAGCCACACTCTTATTTTAGGAGATTATAAAAATTCTGTTGTCATTCCCTTCTTTCCATCAATTAGCTATAAAGTTGCACATATTTGCAGAAAGAAATTAACTTTCGGGTTGTTTACTCTCCCATCAATAAAATTCCAACTTCTATACTCAAGGACCCCATTCCGGATATGAATTCCTGGGGGTATTTATAGGATTCCTTGCCAGTGTGGTTTAATTTACATTGGCCAAACTAGGAGAGCCTTAAAATTTCGCGTCAAAGAACATGAGGCATATGTTAGAAAAAAGGAAACACAGAAGTCTTCTGTTGCTCAACATTGTTGGTCCGAAAATCACACTTTCAATTTTTCTGCTGCCAAAATTATTCAAAAAAACATCTTCCATTGGAGAACTGGATTTTCTAGAGGCATTTCACATTCATAAAAATCTTTCTGTTCTAGTTAACGATCCTAATTCCAATCCAAATTTTGCCTTCGGCTTTTAGAGAAATTATGTTTTAGTTCTTTTTTCGCCAACAGATGGCACCACTTGCTTATTCTTGTCCAGGCTTTCTTATCTTATCTAATCATTATTTCCTATCTTGTTCATTTGCGGTTTTGCAGCTGAAGATGATGGTTCGGTAAAACCATCGAAACTAGTCCTGTGAAAATTTTGTAGGTATAACGCTGATTTTTGTTGTTTGACTTCTGAATTAGTATTTATTCGGCGTGTTATTGTGTCTTAAAAGGAGACACCTTTTTCATCCATGGTTGGCACAGTCCTTTTGAGCTTTCAATAGACTAAAGGATGTGGCACTTTTGTTTACATCCAGCACATGTTACTTTGACAGCTGGAATTGGAAGTACCTTTGTAAATATGTGTGAAATCGATGAATAATTATTTTATATGTGTATTAACTTTTATTTGGAAAATGTTGAAGCAGACTAGAAGCAAACTTAACAAAATATAAATATGATAAAAACAACAAGTAAAACACAATAGAATGAAAAAATATTACTATTGCAAATTTGACTTTTGTTAAATGAATCATTTACCAAATTTTAGTAATTTTCAAAGGTAATTAAGAAAAAATGCAAGAAATGTGCTCAGGTAATTGAAGAAACATTATTATTGTTCTTGAAATACTTATGTAATAAATATAGTTATTAAAATGTAACTTGCAGTATCATTAAAAGAAAAATATAGTGATAATATTTGTATAAATTTATTGAAATTTAAGAAGTGGTACAAAATGTTTCATTATTATTTTTATTTAAATAACTGCTAATATTACACTAATATTTAATATCATGAAGTTTATGTACATTTTCCAATAATTTCGAATATCTGAAATATGGTTCATGAAGAAGGATGAAATGGGTGTACTAAACTAAATGTAAACTTATTATACAAAATACGATATTCTCAGACTTGAAGTAATGTACACTTTTTAGCAAGAAATTCATAGTGTAGGAAATAGTACTTTTATTTCAGGAATAAAAAGTGTATCTGTTATCTAAAAATAAACTTAATATTAAATTAAATTACTATTAATAATGCATCAGAAAAGGAAAAAAACAGTTGCTTTAGAAATAAAACAGTGCAAACAGGCCTATGGAGAGAGCACTGTATTCGCCAATGTTTATGAAAAGTGGTTTTGAATAGTTAAGCAATTAAAACTAATGAGAATTTCATTAACAGAAAACTACATCCATTATTTTAGAAAGATGGTTTAGTTATCTGAATATGGAAAAGTATATGAGAGCTATCCTGCTAAGGGGAGGAATAGCTTCGATGAAGGACATTCTAAGGGAAACTGACTTGCATTCATGTTACACATAGGGAAAACCAACAATGTAACAAGCCCATTTCTCTGCATTTGAACTACGGCAAAATACTAGCATTCAGTAATCTATAATTGCTTGGCCACTGATTAGGCTGAAATCAAGAAATTTTAAGAATGATGAATTAAAAATATATTTTTACTAATATTACATTAAAAATGACTGTAATTTTTATTCAATTATACATATTTCTTGTATAAAAATTCTGATACATGCTAAATGACTGTAGATTACATAACTCTAAAAATACATTTAATGCAAAGAAAATAAAAGATTTTTTCATGTTATATACTTTTTAAAGCATTTCAAATAATTTCTGTCAAAGAGCAGAATTAAAAAAATATGTCTTTCTTAGAATGTTGTGTGATATATTCAGGGTTTTAAGAAATCTGTAAACTAACTGAGCATTACTGTATATTTTATTTATTTGCTTACAGTACTTAAATAAATGTTTTTATATGCTCATGTTTTAGGGTTCCTATTGCCGAAAGATTGAAGAAAGAGAATTCATCCTTTAAACAATGTGAATCTTTTTCTGGCAATAAAGTTGTTACATTTACTGTGAAGGAAAAGGTAAGAATTTAAAGCTATAGTTGGCATTATTTTAAAATTTTATATTATTGATTAAAAATTTGTTAAATTACTTATTATTGGGTTGTTTTCATATGTATATGTGTGCTGGATTGCTGGATGTGTTCATTATTTTGTTTTGAAAAAAGAAATTAAAAAAATCTGTTCAGCTGATTCAAAGGTGTAAAATTCAAAAGTATAATAAACCAAAGGCATGTGATTTATGATGTAATGTATTTAAATAAAAAATCTAATGGAGCTATCACTTCTAGTGATACGCTCGACTAGGCAGGAACGTTTCCGAGAAACGAGTTTGTAGTAGCACTGGTTCAAATGGGAGGCTTCCGAGAAATGTTTCGTCTAGCTAGACGAAACATTTTGAAACTGTTTTGTCTGGAGCCGTGTTGCACATAGAGATCAACCAATCAGATGGAAGTTCTGCTTCTGAAGGATTACAGGTAATTTTCAATATGGCGATGGCTCTCGTTGTGAAATCATGGACGGTGGAAATAGAAGCCAATTTAATTGAAGAAATACAGAAAATCCATATATATATTCCTGTATTGTTATAGTATAAATGTCTAAGTCATTTTAAAAATGTTTATATATTCATTAAATTTATAATCGTGGAAATTTCAGAGTTGACAGTATTTTATGACATGCTATTTCTGCTGATTTGTTTACAAATTATTCGTTGCCAAAAGTTTGCCACATTTGTCATAATTCGGGCTGATCATGTGAAAAGAAGTGTTATTGTTATGTAATAGAATTTTTTAAAATTAAATTTAAGGTGTATAATTTTTTAAAATATGTTTGTATATGCACAGCTTTACTTTTCTGCTTATTACTTTTAAATTGAAATTGCATAATCAGCAATTATGTATATTTATTAAAACATAGATTATGTAATAATAAGGATACACATTAAATTTGTATGCTATTATCTTTATATTATTAATGAAATGCTTTTTAAATTATAAACACATTAAGAACTATATTTTTATTATAAATTCTACATATTGAAACATTGGAAATTTATGGATTTATTATTATGAATGATGAAAAACATTTGTATGTACATTCATTAATATAAATCTTATTCATTGCATTAATACTAATAAACATACATCAACAACTTCTAAACCATCGCATCTCTCTATGTGTATGTAAAATATGACTTTGTAGTAGCCAAAGATGTGGATATATATATATATATATATGTATGAATACAAAAATGAAACATTGCCAAAAAGATGTGGGTATATATATATATATATATATATATGTATGAATACAAAAATGAACATTGCCAAAAAGTTTATTTGAAGTTACTTCTAATTCATATAACGATTATGTAATTGGCAGCAAGTGTAGTCATCAGTTCTTTGCATATTATTATGGATATGGGATACACAATTAAAAAATAATTGAAGTGCATTTTGTGTATTAGGCTAGTCATTAAAATTCACCCACATACACACAACCTTTGAATTTGTAATTTACTTGGGAATTTAAACAAAGAAACTGAGCAAGTAGCCTTTACAAAATATTTAATGTTTTGGGGATAAAATAAATATTTTTCACTCATCACAAAACATATATCAGTAAATGACATTGTATTGTATACATAAAAGTTATTAAATAAATATATGGATACAAAAATATTGCTTACATCAGAAATAATGACAGACCACTGAATGTATGATGTAAAAGTATTTACAAAAATATTTACAACAGATCATTACAAGAATCAGAGTAAAAAATATATAATTTAAAAGTAATAATTAATGTAATAAACACATGTCATTTTGCCAAGGTATTGAGCCAACAGTATTAAAATAATTACAAAATATATTTTGTATGTACACAGACTTTGAAAGCAAACGTCTCTTTCGCCAATCTGAGCGATAACTGATTCCTGTTTGGCTTTCAAGTCTGTCTACCAAGTAAAGATGGTAACCCATTTCATGGAAGCGCAATTCCAAGAATTGTTCCTTTTGATGTTGTGTTCCAGCAACAAATAGTGTATGTGATAGTGGTTTAAGTAACATTGTAAAGTTTACCTATCGCTGTGTCTGATCTTGCTCTTCTTTAAACAGAGACCTTAAAATTATCATTTCTTTCCTAGAATTCTTTCTTTCAATAATTTTTAGAAGCAACTAAGTTACTTTACAATTTGGAACAATAAAAATGAAACATTTTTTAAACATTGCTGTTCAGTAGGTTGCAAACACTAGAATTACAAAAACTTATTCACTTCTAATAGTGGCTTTTTGTACTTTTGTTTGTTTTTATTTTTCATTATTACTATTATTATTATTATTATTATTGGTACTTGAGGGCAAATTAAGCCGAGTTACTTCCTTATGAACCAAATGAAGATGTTCAACATCTTAAATATGTTGTCACCAAAATCTAAAACTAAAGTGTAACAAAAGATACTGTCAACTTTCCAGCAACTAGAGGCTGATTTGTCAGGTAAAGATCAAACCATGACAAAATAATGCTCAGAAATATAAAGTTAATTGTTTACTGCACAGATGGGAGAAATAGTAATACCTTGCCACTAAAATTTACTTCTTCTGGATGAGTTAAGGTGAAGCTAATGTTAAACAAAAATAATTTAAAACAAACCAATTAGAAGCTAAAACTTCAAATCTGAATTTTCTTGAAGAAAAGTGAGTTGAAAGGGAAAAGGCATATGTAACTTTTTAAAAAAATTAACTGAAACTAATCTGTAGATTGCTTTGGTATGGTAGAAAGATTGTATGCATTTCGAAACTGACTAATATATGGTCATCATCCCCCCTTTAAAAAAACTTTATTTTATTAAAGAATAGAAACTAGTAAAATTCAAAGGTATTCCAGACATGTCTCTTACATAGGCAAAACAATCTAAATAAATAGTAATTAGTGATAAAGAAAGCAACAATTGTAGAAAAGTTTAATTGAATAAGATGGAATTCAAAGCATTTAAATATAAAATTGACATCTTAAACACTTCAGAAAACACAAGGTTTGAATTAAAATTGATGAATGCTTGTGTGTAATTTCAATTGCTTGTCTTCATTTTAAAGCTTAATTATTATTAAATTTCTTCAATTAAAGAATGGACATTTTAGCAACGATTTTCTTGAAACTTAAGCTGCCCTTAAGGGATTAAGTTACTTCTGATATTAGCAAACAGGAAATAATCAGAGTGCTGTAGATATTCATTTAAATAAATTTTCCTTTTGAGTTTTGATAAATTTACTTGTTTAGTACCTGTATAATAGGCAAAAACTTCAAAATGCTATCTTTATATTTTTCATTAAGATAGTCAAAATATTTTCTTATCTCGTGTTTGTGTCGGGGCCTTCTCTGTGTGTTGTGCATACAAGAGACTGTTACAAATAATATGTTCTCAATATGCATTTCACTTTTTCCCATTAAAAATTATTTGTTTTCTTACTGCAGACACAGTATGTTTCACTCTTCTATTGTTATTGAACATCATTCTTATACATAAAGTATTGCATTAAACATGATGCAAGGAATCTAAAATTTTTATTCATTCAGACTCTATTTGAAAATTAAGACTATTGCATTTTTCTTCATTTTGTGTTTTGTTTTTAAAATAAAAAATTAAATTCATCATGTAACTTTTAAAATTTTTGTAATATTTCTGTTGGTTTTTATTTATTTTTCTCCAGTAAATTAGATTTTTTTGTGAAGCATTTTAGCTATTATTGAGTGTATGTGTATATATATATATATACATGTATATTTTATGCAGGAGGAAAAACAAAGTAAGATGGAGCAAGAAAGAAAAGCTCACATGAAAGATAGAGCTAAGTATCGTAGACCAGCAAAATATTTAAGAAAATGAGAGTGTAATAAGAATATTTTGTAAATAAAAGGTTTTTATCTTTTTAACAATGTTTTATTTTCTGTGTGTATATTTGTTATTTAAATTTACTAATATATGTGTGTGTGTGTGTGTGTTTCATTAAAAACTAATTAGTAAAGTTTAAATAATTCTCTTGTGCCAATGCTGTACTCATTCATGTAAAGCAAATTAAAATTTGCATAATTTAAAATTTTAATTTACTATACATGAGATTATAACATTGTATTTATTAAATATATATATATATATATGATGTTGTAGTTTTGGTGAAAGATGAAAACAATAGAGTGGTGGGGATGGAGTCATGGTGGGGATGGAGACAACTTGAAATTGCTTCTTAGATGGAATGATGGATTTGCAGACAAATGTGCTGAGTTGAACACATAATTGATTAATTTCTTAGAACATATCCTTGATTGATGCAACACTGGGTTGCTATAAGTGCCCCACAATTTCTGTATGTGCCACTTACATTTTAAATGGTAGAAAAATATAGTTAACTGAGAGACATGGCTTTCTTAAGCATAAGCAAGCAGCAAAAAAGTGTGTGTATAGTCATGGCTAGCATATTTATAATCTCAGAAAGCCTTTATTGTTTGAGTTTTGAATGATGATCGGATAAAAGCTTACAGCAATGCGGATCTCTGGAGGGAGAGAAATGATGCGTCAGTGCAGATGAGAAGGGGGCTGTATATGTCTTCGTAGTATGGCTTATTGCAAATGATATTTCAAAATTCATGTAAAAGCAGGAAGTCTATGTAATCAAAATAATCACTTGCAATAAGCATACACTGCTGCTAATAAACAGATTATTTATGAAATATTTAACTGCTAGAAAGAAATTTAGAAAGATCGTTACACTAATTAAATGCATACTTGTTTCCTTAAATAGACTAAATAAGATGTAAGATGCTGAACTGAATAAAATTCAAAATGCAAGAATACAGTATTGAATTATGATGCATGTAAAAGTCTGTATGCTACATAATACACACAATTATATACCACATTAATAGCTATATAAAATAAATTAAGAGATATTAAACTAGATAAAATACACAATGCATATTTACAGAATTGAACTGACATGTGTAAAATTATATGCATATTACACAGTGCACATGCTATACAGTATGAAACAATTATGTATTACAAGAACAAGTACCTATATAAAATAAATTAAGAGTTATTGAACTAGATAAAATACACGATGCAAATTTACAGAATTGAACTGACATGTGTAAAAGTATATGCATATTACACAGTGCACATGCTATACAGTATGAAACAATTATGTATCACAAGAACAAATACCTATGTAAAATATATTAAAAAGACATTAAACTAAGTAAAATGCACAGTGCATAGGTACATTATTAAATTATGATGTATAGAAAAATTATATGTATACTGCATAACACATAGTTATAAAGCACATAAATACCTATATAAGATACATTAATATATAAACCACAACTAAATAAAGTACATAATGCAGAGATTGAACATTCAGTTATAAACTGCATAAATACATACATATAACCAAATAGGGCATTAAGCTAAATAAAAAAACACAATGCATGTACACAGTATTAAATTCTGATGTGCCTAAAATCCATATGTATAGCGCACAGCACATACACTACCTGGTACAATTTAATTATTAAGCACATAAATACCTATATATAATATATTAAGTAAGGCATTGAACCAAATAGAAAATACACAGTACTGAATTATAATTAACATAAGAATTGCATATTGCATGCGCCACACAATATATGCAGTTATAAAGCGCACAAGTAAATGATGATATATATGAAATACCCTAAAAATGACAAACTAAGTAAATTAGATAATGTAGGGACACACCATCTGTATGAACAAGATCGTGTGTCATGCAACAACGCTAAGCCGATAATTTTATTATTTACTTGTACCAACCGATGGTGAAATTGTACCACTATTGTGCTCTAGGTAGGTGCACCGTTCGGTCAAGTTTTTAGGTGCTAAACTTGCAAAACTTTGGGTTTATTTAAATGCTTTTATGGTCGGTTTATTAATTTTTCTGTTGTTGACGTGAGACAACGTACATGCCAAATATCCTGATTTGCTAATACAGTACAAAGTCCGAGATCCAGACTTGTTGGGATTTCAGCGATTCCGGATTTGGAATTTTTCTGGATTCCATAATTCAAATCTAGTAAGATAGCATTCATAAATTATAAAATTAAAAAATGAAATTGTGATTTATGAAATAATGAGCATTATAATCTAAAGCAGCAGTCGCCAAACGGTGGTACGTGAAAAACTTTTTGATGGTCTGCATAAAAATTAAGACATTATTAATATTTTTATGAAGATTCAGTTTAAAAAATGATGAGTAACAAAACCTATTATGGATTATACTTTTATTTTTAATTTTAGCTACTACTATTAGGAAAATTCCTTCTGAATTAAGCGACTTTTTAGCTACGTTTGCAGGTGTATCTAGCGACATTTGAAAATGAGAGTTTGCATCCATGGATATGCTGCTTTTATCAATAATAGTGCAAACTGGAATTCTTTTTTCTTTTGAATTACAAACATATTCTATTGTAGTCATTAATAACACAGTTTTTTTCTGTGTCAATAGGCAACTTGATGGATTTTTATGAGAATAATCTGCGTTCTTGTTTATAATTGCATCACTGGAAGTTTCCGTTTTTGTTTTGTCTAACTGTTGATTGAGTAGGTGATGATTATTATGTTTACAGTAATTAAAAATTGGCAGCATAACACTTTCAGTTTATTGATATTGCTTTGCGTGTGCCGCAGTGATATGGAAATGTGAAGCTTTCTGTAAGGTAAGATTTTTGTACTTTACGTATAATTTTTCAGTGTGAATAAAATATATATATCAGTGAGATGTTAATAGTATTTTAATTGTAGCGTAGCCTGAATTTCCATAAAGGCATGCTGCTGAACACCATGTTCCGAAAATTATATTAACAAATGAAAATTAGAATTACATGTATTGGAAAGTTGAATATTGTTTTTGTGTATTAATATGTTGTTTTTAAGGTCTGATTTAAGTTTTTTTTTTTTTAAATTCATATTAGTGGTCCAAATATAAAATTATATATGTTGTGGTCTATGTAGTTCTAAGGGTATCAAAATTTATTTAAAAAAAAACTGTCATTTATTTGTTTACTTTATTTAATATTTCTTTCAATGTAAGTTGTTTAAGTTGCTTAAATTTTTGTGTTAATACTTTCTCTTTAATTCTATGAACATACATAATTTCTTGTTCACTTACAAAGTTCCACTGCTTAAGTCGTGTAATTGCTGTATCGAGAATTCCAACTAACTTGGCAATCGGAAGTTTTTCGTTTTCAATAACCTCTCTGTCACTTTGGTAGTCTCTACACTACCGGTAGCGGTATTTTCTGAATCTAGAACCATACTACAGATTTCACCGTCCTTTAATTCATTGATGATTGGTGCATACGTTGTCATCGCAATGAAAAACTTTTGTTATATCATCTTCATTTATTACCATTTCTCCACATTTCTTTACAAAACTCATTATTTCGAAAATTTCACCTTTAGTTTGCAGTATTCGAAAACCTTCAGATTTGCAGCTATTATCTTCAGCGTTCTTACCATGAAATATGGTAGCTGGCCATAAGTTATGCCAAGCATTTTTAACATATCTGGAGACACATGCTCCCATGATCTGGTGATGCTCCACACAGCAGATTTAACGTTAAAATATTAAAAAAATTCTTGAATAGTCTTGCCATTATTCAAGAAATTTGACATGGAGTTTAAAAATGCTACTTTATATTTGCATTTCAGCGCTTGCACTATTTTGATATCCATAAGCTGAATAATGGACGTACAATTTGGAGGAAAGAATAATACGAATACATTATCTTTCACAAAAACTTTTAAGTGAAGTATGAGCCGAACAGTTGTCTGCAACCAGGACAATTTTTGTGTCAGCAGGTAAACCAATCAAATTCAAATGTTGCCGAGCCTCGGGTATAAAAAGATTTTCCAACCAATCATTCATTAACGCTTGTGTCATCCATGCTCTTTTATTTGCATATATAACGGGGAAAATCGTTACTCCTTTAAATGCTCAAATTCTTTTTTTTTTTTTTTTTTTTTTTTTTTTTGCTTACGAAAAGTTTACACCTGCGCTTTATTTTTGCACATGCTAAAATTGTTAGTCTCGCTTTGGAATATTTGACACCATTTGGGGCCTTTTCCATAGAGGTTGCCAAGGTATTTCACGCTACATATTGCCTGAAAAGAACAGTTTCATCAGCGTTGTAAATTTGTTATGGCGATAACTTTTCACTAGTAATGAGTTCAGTGAATTCATCTGATATAGTTGAGCAGCTTCACAGAAAAAAGAAAAAAATTGTTAAATTTTCCCCCGTCAACATCCTTAGTGCATTTAAATCTGTAATCATTGCCAAGCATAAATTCAGCATAAAAAGTTGCCATACTCTTTGTTATTCTATTACTACTTGCGACAGATGCGACAGATTAGGCATCTCTGCACGAGTCATTACTCAAGTTGTCATGTTTTGATAAATATGGGATGATGAAAGGAAGATATATCATCAGGTTGGCGTTAGAGGCATAAAATACTAGTAGGGTGTAAAATTGACAATGTGTCTGTGTAAAATGTTTCAGTTTGAGATTTATGCTAAGCACATATGCAGCTACGTAGCCAAATTATTGATCTCTCAAATTTATGCAAAATGATTGTTTCTTCAATAACAAAGTATTTGATTTAATGCATAAGTGAAATTAAGAATCGAGACTCTCCTTATGCTTTATTATGGAAGGGAAAATTTAAATGCAGATAGGTAAAGCATACAAAAAAAAAAAAAAAAAAAAAAAAAAAAAAGGTTTCATAGTGTTACGAATTTGGTATTTAAAAAGCTAATATTAGTTAAATTATAAATTAATTGGTTTTATTTCTCGCGCAGTGCAGCGCGTGACGAATATTAAAAGAAAGCTAAGCCGG